TTGAACAAATTAAATTTAAATTTGATTTTTAATAGTTGAATAATGATATATATTATGTGTTATGTTTTGAATTTTGTTTTTTATAACAAAAAAAAATATGTTTAATTCACAATCGAAAAGTATATCAAATTTTAAGTTAGGGATGACTCCTCCAATATAAAGTCATGACATACCTAAAATTCAATTGAGATTTACATAAAAATTTATAGATTTTCTATTACTGTTATAGGATTCAAACTTTAATTTACAAACTTAAATTCTTGAGTTCTAACCACTTGTACATATACTCATCGACACAAATAGGAAAGTCTATGGGATAAGCTAAACAAAATTTCGTTACATATTGTTGAGATCTCTTTGGATAGTACGGTCCATCGAAAAATTCAACAGCTATGTATTTCATTAATCTTGAATACATGATGCTCAATCATCCGATATAATAGAATTTTTAGGAACAAAAAATAATTAAATTTATAATTAATCTAAAACTTAATATATAGTTAATAAACAACCTTAATTTATATATATTTATTGATAATGTTATATATTCTATAGACATGATTATTCTTTAAGAAATAACAATAATTTTATTGAGTTTATTTACTTAAATAATTATATTTTAAGAAAGAACAATAACCAACTTGACCCATCTCTATTAAAAAACATTTTTTTAATTATATTTTAAATTATATTTACTTAAATAATTATTAAATAAATATTATTCACATAAAAATACTCAAATTTAAGAGTTTATTTAGAAAAATACTCAAATTTAAGAAATTAAATAAAGGAAAATTATTATTTTTGGGTAAATCACACAAATGGTGAGTGTTGCTTTGTTAAATCTCAATAATTAAAAGTTATAAAATGGTATTTCAACTTTATGATATTATTTTATTGAGTTATATAATTATTTAAAATTATAAAATAATCATATGACTATTCATATGTTCTAATCTTGTCATTTTTTATTAAAAAAATTAGCTGTCGTCTAAGTTGAATATTAATCTATTGATTGAAATATAATAAAATTTGATCCAATAATTATTTGAGTTATATTATGTAGATCAACTATCCATTTACATTATGTCTTCGAGCCGATGTTTAAAACATTATCCTGTCGAGCCAGTACTTAAGAGCAATATCAATGCTTAATATACATCTTTAATATGAGTTTATCATATTTCAATCAACAGATTAACATCTAAATCAAATGATCATTAATTTTCTGACAAAAGGGAGAGCTTATAACTTATGAATAGTTCAATGACAAATTAATAATCGATATAATTAACAAAATAACGTTATATAATCAAAGAATTATTTTAATAACTGATATAATCAACAAAATAACATCTTATAATTAGAGAAAGTCATTTATAATTTTATTAATTATAAATTATAATTATTATTTTTTTAAAAATTAACTATTTAATAATTAAAGTTCTAATACTCTGTTATACCTAAAACTTCGTAATAACAATCATCCTTATTTCGTTCCCTATTTTTTTTATCCTTTGTTTACGGTGAAAGAAGTCAAAAGCTGCGCCGGTAAAAGGTGGGTACTAGGACATTTTTTAACACCACGCGTAAGTTAGATACGCAGGCTATAAATAACTAAGCGGATCCTTGTTGCCGCTAAATCTCAGTATCCAATGCTCCTCAGAAGATAAAGCCCAAAATGACAAGTCGACCTACGTCGCCACCGCTCAAACCCGATGACGATCCGGACCTTTCGTCCCGACCTACTCCGTTCCCTAATCAAGCTCAAGCCGCCACCACCGTCGCCGGTCATCGGAAGAAGGGGACCGGTGTTCGGGCATGGCTTATACTGGACTCGACGTGCCACACCCAGATGGTAGGGGCCGGAAAGCATGCAATCATGAGACGGACGGGTTTACCCGCTCGAGATCTTCGGATATTAGACCCGCTTCTGTCGTACCCGTCTACGATTCTGGGTCGTGAAAGGGCGATCGTGATTAACTTGGAACATATTAAGGCAATCATCACAGCGCAAGAGGTTTTGCTTTTGAATTCTAAGGATCCTTCGGTTACCCCCTTTGTTGATGAGATTCAGAGCCGAATTTTGTGCCATTTTCAAGCAACCAAAGACCAGGTTCGTTATTTATAAATTTGTATATATATATATATATTTGTTTAGTTGATGTTCTATCATGGCATTTTGTTTTAGGGTTTATTTGTTTTCCTGCTTTATTTTGCATCGATGAAATTTTCTTATTTCAATTAGGTAAAATCATGTATTCTATCACAGTATTCACTGTGAATTGATAGTTTAGGGGAGAAAATACAGAAATTGATATCTTTCCTTCATAATTGCAGTCAAATCAACACTCGCCTCCGAGTCTAAGTAACGTAGTGGAATTCAACAACATAATTGCCTTCCAGAATTTAGCGATAATAAGCGTAACTGTTATCCTGTCACAATTTATTGACTTAACTTATAGATACCTGCTAGCTCATCTGGTGGTTACCCCATTTTCGTAACTAATAATCAGCTTGGCAGCTCTCAACATGTCGGTGATAAGCTCAGTAGCTGCCAACTGCTGCTTTGCGAGCTCATTTCCCTCTTTCTAGTTGCAAGTAGTCAGTCAGTCATGTTGCTATAGCTCAATATCCTAGGTTACTCGGATTCAAATGTTTGATGGGTACGGGTATGTTCCCACACTCGAATGCTTAAATTTTAAAAGTTCCTCCTTGTATATGGAGTGTTCTGGAGGGTCATGTCCTTGTACATATTTCGAAGTGTTAGTCTCCGGTACTTACAGAAAAAAATTGAGTCAGGAAAAATAGTCAATATCAGCTCCTGCTGGTTCATTCTTGGTTCTCTACCAATTTCCATTTTGTTACTAGGCTCTACAACTGATTCTTTTTCGGCTTCATTGGCCAAATCGTTTTGTTTTCTTCTTTAGGAAGGTGCGGTTGATGATTCCAACTACATAATTCGATCAAGTTCTCAAAATTTGTCATCAAGGTTTTCACAGCCTCAGAATCTGGATGATGAAGGTAAATCAGAAGAGAAACAGAGTCTTGAGAACCCAATGGTTCCAAGATTTCCCATTTGAGTTTGTTGCATTGGAGGCATGCCTTGAAGCAGCTTGTTGCTGCTTAGAAAATGAAGTGAGTAATTCTCTCTCTCTTAGTTTGTCTGTGAACTTTTTTGTTACCATCACGCTGTTTTACTCGTTATGTTTGGTTATTGTTTTATTCCGATGCAGGCAAAGACATTGGAGCTAGAGGCTCATCCTGCCTTAGATAAATTGACATCAAAGATCAGTACTCTCAATTTGGAGCGGGTTCGCCAAATTAAAAGTCGATTAGTTGCAATAATTGGGCGCGTCCAGAAGGTTGTGTATTTAAACATAACCATGCAGAATGTCATATGTGTGACATTCGAGCCGAGTTGACATCAATCAATTGAACAATGCATTTGTTTTAACTTCCATTTTTTGTTTCTTTTTCTTTCTTCCATTTTCAATTCTAAACTTATGTATATACTTATTCTCAGGTAAGGGATGAATTGGAGCACTTGCTAGATGATGATGAAATATGGCTGAGATGTATTTAACTGAGAAACAACTACTTGAAAATTCATCAACCTCGTCTATGAATGATAGAGAAGACATGGGTGGTGAAGTTCTTCAACCAGACATCAATGATAGGTGCTAAACAATTTCGCCGTTTGATTTCATCAAAGATTCACCTTTTCAGTTCATTTTACTTGCCATCTTCGGCATCTCAGATTTCTCCCTGCATTATGTCAGGACACTTGCCGAAATCTCCTTGGCAACCAATTACGAAGGTGATATCCAAGAATCTGATAATACCCAGGATAATATGTTTTCTGCTACTAATGCAATTGGCCGAGACAGCCATGGAACTCATACAAGCACTACACGGAGTGCTATCAGCAAGCACCTTGATGTAGAAGAGTTAGAAATGCTTTGGAAGCATACTTTGTTCAAATTGATGGTACATTGAACAAGCTGTCCACGGTATTTCACTCACCCTTGCCAATTCGTTATGTCCCCTTTGTTTCATCTAATAACTTGGACATGGTTTGGTTTCATGCAATGTATATATATCATATAAGATCTTGATTCATGATTTTTTTTTTGTGTGTGTTGTTTTTCTATTTTGTTTTAGTTTTTTCTGTATGTATGCTAGTGTTGTTTTTAATAACGCCAGATTTGCTGTATCTGTTAGCATTTTAGTTCCCATACTTGGCAAAAGTATATATCATTGTATGTACACTCTAGCCTTGGTATGTGACATATAACACCGTACAAGCTGCTTTATCATTATTATTCTTTTAACTTAGGGTTATTGACATTGATCTTAATTTTTGTTTCGTCTTTCCGGGAAGCTGAGGGAATATGTCGATGACACAGAGGACTACATTAACATAATGCTAGATGACAAACAGAACCATCTCCTTCAAATGGGAGTCATGCTAACAACAGCCACCCTTGTAATCAGTGCCTTTATTGTAGTTGCCGGTGTCTTTGGCATGAACATCCATATTGAGCTATTCGAAGAGGATAAAGCGGGGATGTCGGAGTTCCTATGGACAATCGGAGGTGGTACCGCAGTGTCAAGTACAAGCGATTGTTGGAGTAAGTCTTTTAGACCAAAACTGTTTATCTTGTGAAACCATGTGGAAAATAACATGAACTGAATGATGGTATTGTATAACTTTTCCGGGATTTGATTTGTCTAAACAAGAACAATGGGTTCCACATTTATTAAAACATGCATTTAAAATGCCTAAAATGCTCAATTTTTTGTTATGTAACATCTCGTAGGTGAACTGACGCTGATGACATTGCTTGATTTGATAAGATTAGAGGTTAATCAAGTCGAGTTCAATCTATAAGAAGTTTGAGCTTAACTCAAAATTTGAGATAAAGATCAAACTGTTTAAACACAGCTCAGGAACCTTGTCTGTTTAGTTAAAAATGGATTTGAGATAAAGATCGAAGTGTTCAAACTCAGCTTGTTATCGAGTTAAATTCAAGTTTTTTCACAAGCCCACCAATCTTATTCCAAAAATTTGTTAAAACCTCATCAATGGAAGATAAGAAAGTTTCTTAACATCTGTCCGTTGGTCAGCCCACATGTAACCAAGTGGCATGGATGGTCGGACTTTCCATCGGCGAAGCATAAAGCGGCCTACAATTCGGTGACAATTCCTGTCGCTGAAGTATTGATGGTATTTTCGGGCGATCGGTCTCGAGTTGGCTGTAGTTTCCTTTCTCTTTGAAGAGTTGGATATGGTGATGTTTGCAGTACAGCTTCCCTTCACGTGCTACGTAATTGATGGACTAATGGTGCACCCTCCATGGCAGCACTTGAAGCAGCCCCTGTGGTATGATGTCCCATTAACCGTAACCTTCAACAACAAGAGATATATCCGATTTTAGATTCATTATCGAGCTGAACGGATAACCGGACTTGTATTCTTTAAAAGAAAATAAAAATGGGTTTTAAATTAATTTATTTACCCTTTCAATTGGATAGACAGTGTTATCACAGCCCTTGCCCTTGCACTTCTCTCTGGTGCCAGCGAACACGTTCGACAGTTTCAGTATACTCTGTTGGATCCATAGCTCAAAGGTAAGACATATCGCTAAATTTCAGTTTAAGTAAAACATATTTCTCAGGTTTGATCTTTGGTGTTCCTGTAAGAGTATTAAAAAGACAAACAACTACTGATATTCAACAATTATACCAACTATATTTATATACCTTCAAAACTCTTGTCAAGACTGCCAGTTCTCTTGAAGAGTTGATCATAATGTGGTCTACAATACAGCACTCCTTCAAAGGAGTTGTAATTGCTAAGCTGCGAAATTAAATAATCAAATCACTTGATTATTAAAAATATTACAAATTGTAACCAAGAAATATATATATTACAAATTATTTTGTCATACTACCAACAATGCAACACTAAAACAGTTTCAATTTTAGTTCAATTAATTCATTCCATCACTTAATAAAATGGGTAAAGCACACAAATGGTCCCCTACTATAGGGTACCACTTTATTAAGTCCACCGACTATTAAAAAGTACAAATGGTCCTTCAACTATAAAATGTTGTTTTATTAAGTTCATCGACTATTAAAAGTTACAAAATGGTCAACCGACTATCCATTATGTTCCAAAGCCATCCTTTTTTATTAAAAAATTGGCAGTTGTCTAAACTGGATATTAACATGATGACTGAGATATGATAGTTGTTTTAGACTCCAATATTAGATTTTATCATATCAAAGTCAGCAGATTACACCATCTCAGAATACCGTCAATTTTTTAACGAAAAATGACGAATTTAGAACATAATGAATAATCGGGTGACCTCTTTTTAATTTTAATAGTCACTCAACAATGTAACACTATACAGTCTGAGGACCATTTTATAACTTTAATAGTCAAATGACTTAATAAAATAGTATCCTATAGTAGAGGGACCATTTTTGTACTTCACCCTAATAAAATAAACATGACATTCGGATTTCAATATATACCGTTCTTTTTCTTATCTGAACATGAAATTTCATTTAAAAAACACAAATATAAATAAACCTGAAGTCTGAAATACAGATTTCATCATCTGCTCCCTCGTTTATTTTCCAAAAACCACGCAATATTAAATATAACATATTATTACCTTGAGAGTGCCATTGCAATGGTGGCAACGAAAGCAAGCCTTGTGAAAAACCCGATTATCAGCCGTTAGCTTATCAACCAAATAGACAGTCTTGTCGCATGCCCTGCACTTCTGTTATGCCCTGCACTTCTGTTGTGTCCCTGCAAATGAAGCCATTTTTACAAAGATAAAAGACAAGACAGATCGGGTGATTATATTAACCTTCTTTTACTCTTTGTTCTTCGAAACTGTCTGTCGTGGTAATGTTAATAGGTCAATTTGTTCTCACGGATGTGGTCTGCAGTAAATTTCGGGTTGCTTATTCGTAGGATTGCCCTAATTATTTTATGTGCTTTGCTCACTTTTTGCTATTGTTTTCTCCGTTTTTAAAGCAAGTTCATTGACTAACGATATTCACGACGGATCATCCTTTTTCAGGGACAATTCTGACTCGGGTACAAACTAGAAGGTAATGGGAATTGGGAAATTATGGAACAAATAAGGTTTCCCTACAGCAATTATATCACTTCAGAAGCTGAAAACACACATCAACAACTTGAATAGCACGAAGTCATTGATCTTCCTTAATATTCGTAAAGCCGAACTAAATGCCATTCAGCGGCTTGTATAGAAACACGAGTAAAATATGAGTTCAGAAATCCATACCGCAACAAATTCAGGAGTTGATGAAAGTATAGAACCACTGAACCACACTGCAAATCTTTATAGACTCACTGAACCACTGTCCGTTTAATCCTTGTCATGGTGGAGTCATTTCAGGATCCTAACTAGAACTTCATCTTAATTACACCTTCCATAACCAGTCAATTCTGGTGTGCAGGTCATACAAAGACTGATTTCTAATAAATTTCTACATAGCTGCCCATTTACCTATAAGCTTATCTTTATGGTACTAAGCTGTGTATTCTAATTTCTAAGCATGTCACATAATTTGCACACTTAAATCTAAAATAAGTTACAAACTAATTTAATTACTAAACACGATAACAATCAAAGATGGGCATTTGGTCTAGTGGTATGATTCTCGCTTAGGGTGCAAGTAAAATAATATAGAGGCCTAGTACCTTCAGATCCGTTTGGTTCCTGACAAGATTCCTTCGCAGAGAGTAAAAAAATAAATCTGCTGTTGTCAAGAGCTTCTTTCTTGTACCTTTACTCTTATAGTCATCCGAAAATGAAAATCTGGCTTAAACCTGTTCAGCAAAGACACCCTATAAACAGAAGAGCATGTCTAAAATCTGACTCTTCATTTTTTTGAACTCCAGAGTACCCGTATTCGGACTTAAACTTGTCCAGCAAAGGGCAACCAATTCTGTTTACGTTCCATCTAAAAGTCTCCATATATGAAAGGCCAGCCTTAATGCTGCCAAAGGAGGGGATCACATACATAAGCATGTACTCAACTGGCTTTTGAGGAGCAGATTTAAAATACTTTGATGAATAAAATGTTCACCGCAAGAAAAACAAGTGAAAGAGAAGTCTCTAGGCTCCATCTTTAACCAACATAAAACCTCGTTTAAATGTTTTTTGTGCAATGACTATAACAGAGCAGCAGAGCCTTACAAAGGCACAGAACCTCATCCAGGCAGGATCCATTTCAGGATCCTAACTAGAATTACGAAATAGCTTAAGCAGCTAAAGTAGATAGCACCTCTGCATATTGCATCATAATAGACTTCGGGATTCAGTTTACTGATTAGTCAAGAACTGCCTATGTATCCAATAAGAACATATTAAAAACCACTAGTCTAAGAACTCAGCCAGCATTCTAACAGCAGAATAACTTGCTAACAAGTGAGAAGCTAGAAATAAAGGTTTAGCATAATCTTGAAGCAAAAGCTTGTAATTAAAAAAAAATTGACATAAATGTCAGATATGGGCATTTGGTCTAGTGGTATGATTCTCGCTTTGGGTGCGAGAGGTCCCGAGTTCGATTCTCGGAATGCCCCACTCCTTTTTCTTTCTACTATCCTGTATTGCCATTTAAACATTAGCCAAGAAGAATCTAGCTTCGTCTTTCAAAGAAATAATTCTTTTAGCATTATAATGCGGTCTCATGCAAGTATCTGTCCAACTTCTGCTTGAATAAAAGAAATGGCCGCACTAGACAGTATGGCCTGGTCCTTGCAAAGGTGCAAACAATACCCGCTCAATGATAGATCATTCAGGATCCTTGGTAGAATTATCAAATGGCTTTAGTAGCCAAAGTAGATAGCACTTATACCTACTTTATCAGCAAAAGACCTTGGCATTCGGTTCGCAGAGTCCTGCACACAGAAGTTTATTGAGAGACAACGTTTAATGAACAGGGGACAATGGAACTAATCATCCAGTGTGATCTTTAAACTAGCTGTTTAAGCAGTCAGGCAGCACTCTAACACTTGCTGAACAGTAATCATATAGTCATTGAAGTTTATAGAGACCATCAATAGAAGATCTAACAACTAAAAGCTGACTCCATTAAACATAAACAAAATGGGAACTTCGATTAGAGCTCGGGGTGAAAGGGGTTCCGATTTCAATTCTCGGAATTCCTTGAATCCCTTCTTTTAACTTTCTCAATTTCTACACCTTGAAATCATTGATCATAAGAATCCAGTACAAATTCAACTTAAACCAAGTGCGTACTGCACAATATTATAACACTTGATGAAGTTCAGATTAGTTTGTATTCTGACAAGACACCTTAACAAATGAGTACCATAAATAAATAACATATAAAAAATAATCAGTATACCTACTTCTGCTACTTTATTAATTGCCGACATGTTAACCTAATCCATGCAAGTAATCAGGAAAAAGAATAAATCCTTTCTCAAAATATACAAAATAATGAAGTTATACTAACCCTTGGTTTCCAAAAAAAAAATCATAGTGATTGCAAAACATTAGACGTACGATAAAAATGAAGGAGATATTACAAACTCATCTGGCGAGGAACTTTAGCCTCTTGTGGAGCAAAAATCTGCACGAGCTAGTGAATTGTATAAAGAAAACAACTCGAGAGCGTCGAGCTCCATAGCAGCAACTTATATATATAGCCGATTAAAGGTTAGATTCTGAGGAGTTGACAGGCCGTTTGGATGACGGGAAAAGGAATTAGTATATTGAATTTGCTTTCGAGTAATTCTTGCGCTTTGTTTCAAGTGAATTTACTTGGCTTTTTCCGCGGGAACGACTGGCGGTCAAGGGGAAAGACAAAATTGCCGCTCTCAAGTCTTATCTATTTTATTAAATATTAAAAATTAAAATGTTTTTAAACATCTATATATAAATATAAGATTTTTAAAATTTTTAATTAAGTCAATTCGACAATTGTATACATATTTGCTCATATAAGTGGTAAATAAAAATAATAAATTTTAATTTAAAATATAAAATATAAAATATAAAAAAATTATTAAACACAACGTAATCTAAATTAATTTTATAAACAATAAAACCCATATCTGTCTAGATTAGTTCAATTATTGCTTTACCCTTTTAGCTTCAAATCCCCTTAAAAGCATTCTTATTTTATAGAATATTTTATTTTAACTACTATTTAAATTACATACAAAATTTCATCAATCACAAATTAAATATTGAATTTAGTTTAACGATTTAATGTTATTCAGTGATCAAAATAGATTTGGTTCCAAAATTTAATGACCAATAGGATAATTTGCCCATTTCTAGTACATTTACACATTTTATTATTATTTTTCTTTAACTATTTGTTCACAAATATAATCATAGTTACAAGAAGACATGTTAACATTTAAATATAAAAAAATCATCCAAAAGGCTTTTATTTGATTCAAAACGACGAAACGATTTACCATGTTCGGTTGTCTACAACTCAATATTCTGTACATGAAACAAAGATCAAACAAATTTATACCCCACTCACCCACCAAACTAACTATATATATATATAATAACAATGATTAAAGCCAAGCTGGAAAATTAAGACCATGGTCCCAGCCACGACCAAACCTTGTTAGAAAGACAGCAAAGTGAAGTTTTGAGGGTTCAATTCTTTGATTTTGAATGCTTCACAAGCCAATCAATCACCGTATCCATGTTGGTCGAGTTCTTGCACGAAATCATATAACAACAAACTTCTCTGTCTGTAATAGAATTCAGCCCCCTGCATAACGTCAAGGACAAGTTTTCGACGAATTAATGACCGTCGGTTTGGTTATGATGTCGGACTAAAATGAAGATTTTAACGTGTAATTCTTTTACTTACATTTGCTCTGTCAAATTTTCCTTGGACAAGGCTTCTGGTTTGTCAATCTTGTTTCCGAGTACCAGCAGGGGAATACCATTCAGTGAGGATTTACTTAACAGGTCATGGAGTTCTCTTCTCGAGACGGATAAGTTATCAGAATCAGCAGCATCAACAACATAGCTGTAGGTTGCAGAAAATCGGAGTAAGAACTAGTTGACTACCAATACGAAAGAAACGATTTACCATGTTCGGTTGTCTACAACTCAATATTCTGTACATGAAACAAAGATCAAACAAATTTATACCCCACTCACCCACCAAACAAACTATATATATAATAACAATGATTCAAGCCAAGCTGGAAAATTAAGACCATGGTCCCAGCCACGACCAAACCTTGTTAGAAAGACAGCAAAGTGAAGTTTTGAGGGTTCAATTCTTTGATTTGAATGCTTCACAAGCCAATCAATCACGTATCGATGTGGTCGAGTTCTTGCACGAATCATATAACAACAACTTCTCTGTCTGTAATAGAATTCAGCCCCCTGCATAACGTCAAGGACAAGTTTTCGACGAATTAATGACCGTCGGTTTGGTTATGATGTCGGACCTAAAATGAAGATTTTAACGTGTAATTCTTTACTTACATTTGCTCTGTCAAATTTTCCTTGGACAAGGCTTGGTTTGTCGATCTTGTTTCCGAGTACCAGCAGGGGAATTCCATTCAGTGAGGATTTACTTAACAGGTCATGGAGTCTCTTCGAGACGGATAAGTTATCAGAATCAGCAGCATCAAAACATAGCTGTAGGTTGCAGAAAATCGGAGTAAGAACTAGTGATACCAATACGAAAGACAACATGATGTGTGGATCATGTATTTTCTATCCGGCTAAATAGCATATATCAATCTAAGACGCTTACATTGCTAATTTGCCAGTCATTTACAGCGAAAAGGTTTAAATTTGTGCGTAGGGAATTACGACAATCAGTAGACGAAGGAAAAAAAGAAAATTAGAATAACCAGTAATTCTGTTTAAGGTCATGCTAAGTATAAGCTCAGTAGTGAACCAGGATTTATCAGATAATTCCCACCTTTTTTTGCCTTCAATTATATTCGGATATATTGTATATTACAATTGCAGCATATACATATCAACATTTTTTTTTCTAATTTCCCTTTTTTACCTAACAATTCACTTGTACTTTTAGTTTAACATGATTAACCCGAAGATAGAGCACAAATCACTAAGAAGGTATGATGTGGATGTTCCTAGCATGTTACATTGGCTTTTCGTTTTTCCTAATCTCACATACTGAACATGCATATCATAGAAAACATTTAACGATGTCATGTGTTCCAAGTTCATGCTTAAAGAGAAATAATAGATAAAAGTATGAATAGCATACACGATAGCCGAAACGGCACGGCAGTATCTCTCCCACATACTCCGGAACCTTGGTTGACCCCAAGATCCCTAACTTTATTGTGACGTTTCCTTTAGTTACCTTCCTCATATTAAACCTACCTGCAAACAGAAAGAAAATTACAAGAAACAAAAGAACATGAAAACAAAACTTGTGCAAGGGAGTTAACATTCTCAAGAATAATTTTCATCGTTCTTTGTCATGTGACTTACCGTTGTATCATATCTTCACTATATCCACCAGTCTTGAAATAAGATGAGGAGAAAAAAAGTCAAGCTGTCAGGACAAGTTTAAAGAGATAGGATGCTAACAAAAATGAAAAAAACGTTATAACTCTCACATAAATGCACTTACAGCAATGACATTAACAAGGGATGTTTTTCCGGCATTCTGGAGACCTATTAAAGATAACTCCATTTCTTGCTGAAAAAGAGACTACAAGGAGAAAGAAAATAGATTGAACATGAGGACATTTAATTCAAATAGGTTGGATTAATATGCATAAAAACAGAACACGCACTGAGAGCTCTTTAAAAAGTATAATGCAATCCTTTGTTGTTTGCATAATTCATGATGCGGCAGCTAGCTAGTTTGGACAATCCCAACCAGAAAAGGAAAAAGCACTTCCTATTTCGAATTCTAGTTGTTCGGTCAGTGTAACGCGTGCAATGAAGTTGGGTTGGGCAAAGAGCGCTTTTTAGGTTAGTGATGGACCACCCCTGCCACTTGTTAATTCTCCTCTTTGTGCATTGTCCAAATCTGCACATAACACTACAGCGATCAATTATATGATCACACTGTAACCAGATATCATTATCTCGAATGCACCAGCAACACAACAACACCCTCGCTCCCTGCAACTGTTGCGGTTGCTACCAGCTGCAATTATCACTTTCCAAATGCAACACTAAAGAACAGAATCCGTGAAATAATCGACATAATACCTCCACAAAGACACATATACAGAAATCCAGTATAAAAACATGCCCAAACACCTTGAGCATAGATGAGAAAAACATCCTCTCCTCACAATCTTTTACAGGTTACCGAATTCAAGCACTTCAACAGTGTAGCCAGCGAACAATCTATGAACCATCTAGGCAGCAATGTTTACACTTTACACAAAATTTAATTACCATCAACCAACTATCACAAAGAAACACTTCCAATCTGGTCTTTTAATCACAACCATGCGCATGTAGTGGATGTTCTTAGCATCAAAACATAGCCCCGTTAAAAGGGAAGAAATCCAAGTAAAGAACTATATATAAAAAATCCACAACTTCACCGTACTGGTTCCAGACTTTATATACTTAACAATCCAACTATTAACTATCAAATTAAAAACGGAGATAGTATTAAAACAAGTAAGAACGAAATAAGCAATCACCTTTTCATTTTTCTTGAAAAAAACAATTTCTTAACATTTTCACTTTTGTTTCGCATTAACAAAACAAGGAGAGAGCTTACCTTCGAAGCCAACTGAGAAAAGCTTCCCATAATCCATTTCCGATGATGAAAAGAAGAAATTAGGTTCCGGATTTGAGCTCCGCGGAGGAAAATAGTAAAATTTCGGAAGGCCTTTATAGGCTTAGTTACACTGATCGAATTCCCTCGCTATTTAAATCAATAAATATAAAATAACCTTAAAATATAAATAAATAATAATATAAAAAAAAAAGCACGAAGCGATGTTTGATTAAGGTTCCTAGCTGGTTCGCACGCGCCAATGATTTAAGGGTGGATTATTAAAGCCAATCATTGCGTATTTTGTCACTGCCTGTCATTCACGCTGATAAACAAAAGTATTTTTTGTCACTGACACTTGGCTTTTTCCTGATTTGTCTGCTGCATTGTTCAGGCTGTCGGTTAGCGTCCTTTGATTTTAAGCAAAATCTAATATCGGTTCGTTTATACAGGATGTTATAATCGGGTACCTTATTCTTCAGGTAGTACAAAGAATGATATGTGTCACGACCCGTATATCAAGTACTCGCAAGTTAAGTAAGCAAAATAATCGGATCATTGGATACCATTTGTATTTGATTATTCATGTTTCAAACTCGTTTATTTCTATTAAGAAATTAACAATCATCTAAATTGGACGTTAATCTGTTGATTGAGATATGATAAAATCATATTTTAATAATATCTACTGACATCATCATTGCTTTTAAGTATTGACTCAATGAAATAATGTAAACAAAATTCGATCTACAAATATAGCTTAAACAATTCTGGATCATACTTTATCATATCATAGTAAGTATGTTAACATCTAATTCAGGCTGAGGTCAATTTATTATTAAAAAAAAATATGATTTTAAAAATCTAAATAGTCAAATAATCATTTTGTAACTTTTTGTAATACTTAATAAATAATGTCTTAAAGTTAATAGATCCTTTGATAATTTTAATAATTGATGACTCAATAAAAAATATTTTATAATGAAGGGAGAATTTGTTTGGTTATTTACGATGAACTTCTTCTCAAATCTCAGACTGAAATTCCGTTTTGCATCGTGTCCAAATTTCACTTGTTGATCCTTTTTAATTATTTCAGCGAATAAAAATATAAATTTCTCTGAAAAATCAAAGATTTCGACTCTTTGATTTTGATATTTAAAGGCCACTTTCCTCTGCGGTTAACCATTTATTGATTTTTACATGTTTTTTCACACACGATCTTCATCTTCGTTTCATTCACGGCATCGTCTTTGAAACTCATCAAATCCAAATCCCTGAAAAAATAAATTAAAAAACCGAGATGGAGCTACAAAGATTCCATCATCTTCTTCTTCTATGGTTTACGTTGTTGTTTCTGATAGGGAATTGCCACGCGAGATTCGTGGTTGGAAAAAACAGCTGAAGGTGACGTCGCCGGAGAAGATTAAAGGAACCTACGTCAGTGCAATTGGGAACTTTGGGGTACCTCAATATGGTGGAAGCATGGCTGGTGCTTTGGTTTATCCCAAGGAAAATCGAAATAAGAGCTTTGATGAGTTCGGCATTTCATACAAATCCAAGCCTGGTTCTCTTCCCAAGTTTGTTTTGGTCGATCGTGGAGGTACCCTTTTCATCATTTCGCCTTTTAATTATAAAAAATAGAAAAAAACTCTGGGATTTTTTTTTATTTAAGCTATAATTTGTCTGCTGTAGGGTGATGATGAGGAACTTTTGTGTTTTTTTTTGTCGTTGGATAATTTGATTTGTTTCAAATTGGGATTCTTCTCTAATATTAGGTTTACGTGTACTGTTTGATTTGTCGTGTTTGGTTGATTTAAGGTTTTTCCCTTTTAGGCAAAATTTAATCTTTAGCTTGGGATTGAGTTTAATACTTTTACCCATTTGGATTTAGGTGATAATATATATGTGTGTGTGTGTGTCTATAATTCATTAATTCATTTGAAGAAGTTAGGTTTATCAGTTTCCATAGCTTTTGAGTTTTGTAGTTTGTTTGATTTGGCTGATTGAGAATCCACGTATTTATTTATACATTAACTTGCTTGTTTTAGCCTGATTAAGTCGTCTGGTAGGACGCCTCTCTCTCTTTTGTCCTAGTTGTTTTCTGAAATTTGAGTTTTTTTTTCTTCCTGCTATTCATTTCCCCATTATTTCATGGGGATCACCTTTAAAGGTTTCTACAAAGTTGTTCCAAGATATGTTCTCTGAATCTTCATTTTCTTGTAATACCTTTGGTAGACCCATATCCAGATATGAGCATGGGACTGGGAGTATATGACTTTTCATGGATCCTCCAAATGCATAAAAAAAATTAGGACATATAGGGGTCAGACGCTTGCTTGGATTCGAAATTCAAATCCTGTCCAAGTAGCATAGATTTAGGTGTATGATTTGAGTTAGATTGGATCTCAAATAGAAGATGCTGAAAATTGCTGGTGACCAAAGCATTTCATGATAATGGCTTATAGTTTACCTCCATATTAAGTACTTTAGTCGCATTGCTACGATGTCATTAAACTATTAAAGAGATGAGGATAATCTGAAGTGCTGATGTTGTACGTTCAAGAACGTGTATCAGTTCACCATTCCTTTTTTATGAACATTAGTTTCTGCTAAGGTTATGTTATGTGTACGTATACAATTCATAATCTTGCATTAAAGAAATCGACCGTGTTTATGATGATTTGTATTTTTTTAGAAATATAATAAATTAAACTACAGATTGATGCCGTAATTACGGAGCAAAACTTTCTTTCGACGTACTTCTATTACCAATTCAAAGTTTGGCTATATATTAAATTCCACGAATAGGATTAAGGTCTTTAATTGATGTTTAAGCCTATAAAAATTCGAGCAAACACATTTGATCGGGTGGCCAAACTGTTTATATTTGTTCCCTCATAATCATTAAGTCATGAGTTTTAGATCCACTAAGAGGACTCTCCTCCTTCCCCTCCCGTCTAGGATTAAATTTTAATTTGTTAAAAAAAAGCTATAAAATTTCTTCTTATTAAAAATTGATTTATACAAATATTAATCAATTGTATAGTTGTTATTGTAATATTGTAAGTGGAAATTATATATTAGTGATAAGAAGATAGAAATGAGTCCTGTGTGTGTTTCAAAATAAGATGATCCTTGTATCCGAAGTTGGTACAAGACATTGAGATGACAAGTGTGCTTAAATCCAACCTCTGCCGTTGAAGGGAAAGAAAGGGCAACAAGTCAATGACAGAGTAGAATTTTTAATCAGTTACTAAGTACTACTGGCTCCTCGTCCATGAGTCCCTCGCCTAGAGACCTTTGTGCGATTCTGTAATACAGGATACCCATAGTCGCCATGCACGCCCTGCATTACACAAATCATACACTTCATTCAAATTACTAGTCATTCGTCGTTGACCCTTTTGTAACAATTCAATAAAATTTAATGACCATTTTGTAACCGTTGATCGTTTTTGTAATTTTAAAAGTTCTGTGGTCAAAACATTCATTTTAGCATAGTTCAATGACTTCTAGTGTACTTTACCCAATTTTCAGACATCTTTTCACCAACCCCTCTTAATTGGTATCTCATAAGCAAAGATGCATTGCATAAGCACAAAGAAAATGCGTCTTTGTAGAGAAGGGCAAATGCATGCACGAGTAAGGTACATCTGTGCGTGCATTTGAATGTTAGTGGCTAGCACCGCATTGGCATATATATACAGAAGATAAAGAAAAGTGCAGACTTACATGATTGCCATGGCAAGAAGGATTTTTCGTGGATCCATCCGCGTTGACCTTTGATGCTTCAACCGACCTTCAGGGCCATCATCTGCATCTTTACGGGGAGGTGCAGTCACCGGTAGAGTAGGTAATGCACTTGACCAGAAGGGAATCAATGATCTGAGAAACTTATGGCGTAGTGAACCTATAACCAATAAATCATAAAAATTATATGAACACGATTTTGAGATCAGAGCATAAAATAAATGGCACCATGAACAAAGGCTTTTTTTTTAACTTACCCCTTCGAGAATACTTTTTACGATTTCCCTCTTCATCATCGGCATAATATGAGATTTCTGGATTTGTTTATCAACATGAACTGTACTTTACGTGTTGTAGCCACAGGCTGGGTTACATGGAAGCATGGAGAGGAACACCCAAGTTAAGACGACAAAAGCTAACGTACGAGAATTGACACATGCAAGCAGGCAAATCATATGACTCGAACAACTTAGTTCACATCCAACAATTAACAAAAATAAAACTTACACCAACAGGACTAGAGGCTTTCATGTAATTCTCAGCCGAACTAGGACCATCTATCTCCGTTATTTCGGACACCATAAGTTTAGAAGGTCTTCCAATAGTTGAGTATGCTTCATCTTTTGACACAGCAGGAGATGAATTCCCACCATGCTCCCTTCCTCCGGTAGAGTTTATGTTCATCAATGGATCTGAAGTAAATGCTGGTGGAGGATGATTTCCGAACAAATTCTTCTCCATGCCAGTCTGCACATTAGCAACTTCAGTTGTATAAAATTTATTAAAGCAGATATGAAAATTGATAGAACTCTAATCATATATCATATTCAAGCTAAGATGGAAAGCCCAATATAAAGCTGCAACAGAGCATGTCAAATCTCCAATTCCAAATCTCTTTTTTCTTTGGAACACTTCTCAAGGATATTATTTAGATGTTAATTTCAGAGGTAGTCAATGCCCTTGGCATTTAGAAACGTCAAAAGATTGAGTATGAGATTAAGAAGCTATTTCATAGTTCAATGCTTTTAGTGGACAAGGAAAGAAAAAGTTTTGCTATAGATAACTACGCCTACTTTTTACATTAATTATCATTGGGAACAGCTGGTTCTGCTGATCAATACGTTTGACAGGAAAAAATTCCTTAACAGAAGTCATGGCATCAATTTTGGAAACCTCTACCGGGGTAACAATTAAATCCCTAAACTTATAAGTCAATCACACTGAAAGGCCAAAATAAAGCTTGACCAACACATGCTGAAAAGCATAGCAACTGTACTATAATTTACAAGTGACAAGTGGGAAGGGTATGACTACGGAAGCACCGATGGGCAATATGATAATGAAGCAAAGGATGTACTTAAGAAAATGCAGAAGAAATATTAATAAGAAAAATATCAAAAGAAAAAGGATATCTAAGTTCACTTTACATTTAGAAGGAGCATTTGTTCTGAAACAGCAGAAATTGTGTGAACTAACCTGCATGATAGCCTCCTTCAGCAGTGAATGAAGACAGGATGCTGAATCTTTAACACTCTTGGGAGGCCATATCTGGGCAACAAACCATTGAAAAATGAGGCAATCTGAAGAACAAATATTTACAGACGTAAGTAATTACCAAAACCATCCACATTACAGCTATAATACAAGCATGTCAATCAGTAAACAAATTGAGGAATGCCACACAAAAATTGTATGGTCTTGAATCGTTATTCCTTAAGTAAAGATGATCAGAAGTCTTCTTGCATATGAGATAATCTCATTCACATTTTGTTCCATTATTAATATCAACCTCTGCTTCCATTATGCCATGGAAAATTTTCAAATAAATATAGTGAAAATGCTCAGAAAAATGTTAATCAGCAAAATAGTTTTATTCCACTAACTACTTATATGAATAGCTCCAAAAGCAGAAGCAAGCAGCATCACAATAGTTTTTATCACCGTTAACCCTCTATTATCCATCAATGTTTTCAAGCATAGACACATTTAGCATCTAGATGCTTCCAACTACTGAAAGGTTCAAGAATTGAATCATAATCAATTTTGCAAACTCATATTTATCGGTTGAAACAATACTAAACATAAGCATGTTGCTAGGAAACAGCTGATTCAAGGTGATTAGAAAACTTACAGATGTAGAACATGAAGGACAAGTATAGCCAGCGGGTGCAGTGTGCAGAGGAAAGCTTTTGACATGTGAAATTAAACAATTTGTGTGTATGACATCTAGAAAAGCAAAAACATAAAATAAGATTAAACAGCACGAGTCACACATGCTTTCTGCAACCCCCAAAAAACACTAGAGGCAGTATCCACGTCAGCATAAACATATACCTAAGCAACCCAACCGAGTAGTTTCAGAGCCATCCCCCTCCTGAAGCACAGCTTGGCATTTGCAACACTTGGGAGGCCAGTTATACTCTCCATCTATTACCCATTCGGAGTAAGTACGAATCTAAAGAAAAGTGGGAAGGAAAACACATTATAAGCTACAGAACACCATTCTATACAACAGTCAGTATGAAATTGTGTCATAACACTGTTAAATAAACAGAGCCGAAATGGTCATATTGACATTACAACAAAACATTTTTCATGATATATCATACAACTTAGAAAATTGGACGTATAGATTATCATAAAGTATATATTTTATTAACAAACCTAACATATCCCTAAGACATATAGTTGCAGATAAGTTGTACATCAACCAAAATCAGTTAATGACAGGAAAATTGTTTTTACAAGAAATTTCAACTCTGCACGCCACTCCCTACTTTTCCAAGTATAATTAGGATTATTATTGTTTTCACTCCCTTGTTTTCTCATAGCAACTGAAGCACAACCAGTTTTTCATTTAAGCCAACCAAAGTGCTTGGAAATACAGTTTTGCGTGCAAAATGAACAGAATGTTATAACTTACCACGCATATTTGGTGCTCAGGAAAACAAATGCATTCTCCACAAACAGGGACCTTGTGCACAAAACAATATAACTTTGTCGCCTGAAACACCGAAAGGAAAAATGGATATTTACATAATGAGAAATTTGCAAACCTTTGATCTCAACCAAATATCATCAGCAATAAATTTTATCCTATGCAACACAAGCTTGTAAATTCATAACATAACAAGCCACATTCCACTTGAACCCCCACCAAATATCAAGGTCAACAATGTTCCCCTCTATTTGATTGATTCATTAAAGTAATCAAATTCACATTTTCCAATTAATAGACTCCAAAACTTAGACAGAAAAGATCTTAAAGTCCAACATTCTTGAGATGATAAACAAAAATATCTCAAATCTTGATCTCAACCAAACATCAGCTCTAAAACTTATCCTATGCGTACACACTGGTAACCTAATACCAACAAGCTAGATTCCACTTAAACCCTCTGAATATCAAGATCAACATCTCCTCGGCTCAATTCATCCATTAAAGTAGTCAAACCCACATTTTCCGATGATTAAACTCCAAAATGAAAGATCTGAAGAGTCCTAAATTCCTTTAGACGATAAACAATTTTTTTTACAGATCTAAAACCTCCTGCGACAGTCCAATTGAACCTCCCCCAACACACTTTTCTAAAAAAATTAGAGTATATTCATAACATAACAAGCAACATTCCACTTGAATCTCCCAACATCAAGGTCAGTGTCCCCCCTCTGTTCGATTCATTCATTTCAAATTCGCATATCCAATTAATAAGCTCCACAAATAAGACGACGAAGATCTCAAGAAAATGCTTAATTCTTTAGACGATAAAAACATATTCTGATAGATCTAAAACCTCCAGAGATGAATTATGAATTTCAACACATATTTCTCAAGAAAAAGAAAAAATAATAATAATAAATCACCAGCAAGAACTATAAACCTACAATGCTAATAGCAGCAACGAATTTCATCAAGTGATCAAATATTTGACACAGATTGGTTAAAGAAAACATACCTTGCGGCATTTGCAGACCACCATTGCATAGATAAGCGATCAAGCACGGGATTGAATCACTTGATAAATTCGATTCCGTAACCGATTTTAGAAGCGGATTAAGGTGAAAAATAGCTAGGGTTTAAGGTCAAGCATAAGATCAAGACACGGAGAAGGAAAGATCTGAGTTGAAATGAATATGGAAAATTTATTTTTATACACCCAAGCTAAAAAAATCGAAGCTTTGATTAGCTTTATGAGCCTATGAGGGAGAATAACTTGCATTGATTAACGATTTTCACATTTTCCGTTATATATTTGTAAGTTAAATTACATTAGTCCATGTAAGTTAAATTACATTAGTCCATGTAAGTTAAATGATTAACTTTTGATTTTCACATTTAGTCCATGTAAGTTAAATTACATTAGTCCATGTATAAATTATGATAATTAAATTTAGGTTTAGTATAAAATTGAGTGTCCAACTTAAGCTTCAAAAAATATTTTTGTGTCTAAAGATTTTTTTTATTAAAAATAAATTTGTAACGTTTTATCAATTATACTTTTAGGTGTCTATCGTTTTTTTAAAAAAACTTTTTAATAATAAAAATTTTGTTTTTAATTAAAAAAATTCAACCCCCACTTGATCCCTATCCTGCTCCCTCCCTAGTTATCACCTATCATCTTCTGTCATTAACAACTGATATCGACCATTTTCGGCCACTATCGTCATCGTTGAATGGTCATTCACTCGTCGCCAAACATCACCGATTTCCTTAAATCTAAAATCCCCAATATCCAAATCCTTAATTTCCAACTTCAATTTCCTAACCGAAACATTTGTCGGATATCGTCATCATCGCCTAATGGTTGGATTTTGATCAAATGCACGATGGTTTGAATGGTGGCGATAATGTAGCTTTTGGATGTCGGAATCGACAAAGAACAACGACAGTGACTTAAAATCCAACAAACTTGTAAACACTCCTCCACGACAAATGGTGACAGATTACAATGAAAGACCAATCGGGGTTTGATCAGGTGTTGATGCTGGTATTGATGACGGTGGGGGTGATGTTCACCATTAGCCGATTTACGACTATGGAAGGGTGAAACGGATTGTTGGGTTTTTTTAATAAAAATGTTTTATTTTTTAAATTTTTTTAAATAAATTCTAAAAAATATCAGAATATAACACGTGTTAACGTCCGGACATCTAAAAGTGTAACGTGTGAAACATTAGGCACATATTTTAGCGAAAAATCTTTAGGCTCTAAACATTTTTAGAAGTATAGTTTAGGCACTTATTTTTGTATTAAGCCTTAAATTTATGTAAAATTAAAAGATTACATTGAAGATGTCAAAGATTTAACTGAATTAAATGTGTCATCGACCAGCGCTCCTTGACCTATTGAAAAGATGTCCAATGAGCCAAATGAGCAAATGAAGGCAAAAATAGCATGGAAAAGAAACAAAAACTCAACGTTTAACCTGATTCGCTGCCACCGTCCTCAAAAGATTCATACATTGTTGAAGCAAAACCTTTTCGTTTGCACTCACATGCACAAGTTCATCCATTGAAGAACTCATTTCCTCCACCTGCATAGGAAAAGTGATACATGGTCACATTTTCCGTTGATTTCTGTTATTTCGTCCCCATTTTTAGGTTCGAAGACTTCGTTATTACCGTTTGACGTGTTACTCGAACTCGAGTTTCGTATTAAAGGACAATAAGAATCTAATGATCTTTTTGTGGTGGTGAAGTTTACCATTGATGATAGTGAGCTTATTGGGGTTGCCATTGCCTGCATAGCATCAACTGCTGAACCTATAGCATCCTCGAGACTTTGGATATCGATCTGTTACCATAGAAACCAGAGAAACATTCCGTGAGCAGAATTGTTACTAGATTGTATATCGAAAAGCACGACAAACCAGAAGAATGGAACTTACTGATGCTTTCCTGACGATTGGAAGAAGAAGAGTGCATGCCTTCAATGCTTTGGTTGCTCCTACCAATGAACCGGACATGTCGTCGTCGAGGACGTCCCATGCTTCTAAATATGCCATCTACATTCATCGATTATAACATAATTTAATCGAAAATCAACTGGATTTCATATTTTCTAACAAGCATGCAGTAAGAAGTAGAAGCAGGGAAACAAGAGGAACCGTGGAAGAATCGAATTACAACCAATGTCCCGCAGCTGTGCTACTTGGACGCTGACACGAGTTTTGCATATGCGTATGCGCGGAACGAATTATATGCACTATTGATTCAATTCTTCCTAAACATGAAGTTTTTGAATCTTACTTGTCCCTTAAGTATGGAAAACAGTTTTAGTCTTTGCCTTAGCAACATCAACTTGATTCGATTGAAGGTGACCGAATTCTGCAGCTCCGATGTTCTAACCGATGTTTTCCGCAGATTTTTCTGGTACAAAAGAGGGTACGTTAGAGAAAAGATAACTGTTTATAAAAGAAAACTTAAAGCTGCCACTTGCATCTAGGTGGTGTAGGGGTATGACTTTCCGAAAACTCAACATACCGTGTCGGATATATATTCGTATTCCGATACTAAAAACCGAGTCCAAGTACCATAAGCTTGCATTATAGGTAATCCTTAACATAAACTAGTTTGAGTTCAGCTTGTTTGACAAACTATCACTGTGAAGTAAATTGAAGCATTGGCCTACAAGTTAAGAACAATAACCATACCTCTGATCCCCGTTTCTGCACCATGAAACCAGCATCTGCCTTTGCATTTACAAATCTCCATTGCAAGTAACGGTTATAAAGAAGCCTCAACGTATGTGCATCGTCATTCCGAGTCTCCCCTATCTTTTTTCGTTGAACATCGAAGGAAAGGCTAACATTCGAAGTGGAATTAATGGAACTACCAACCCGAGAAGGCCTTATGCCTCCCCTAATAGGTGAAGACATTCTACCATTACTAGAAATCCTTTTTGATTGACTGAACTTAGTCGAATCTGGATCTGATGAACGCCTTAACGGGCTATCGGTTTTAAGACTAACTTTTGCCGGCATCGTGATATTATGAGATCCAATCCTCCCTTTTGAATTCTTTTCGAAATCACTTGATGATGCCCGAGAAGGCTCATTGACACAATCAGTATCAGAGGTTTTCTTGGGAGACACGGAAACCCTCCTCCTACTCTCATTAAGCATCATTGCTCGTTGAAATGACTTAGCCAGCATTTCACTATATTCAAACATCTTCTTTCCACCATCACAATCAGAACTCCTCGACAACATATTCAAACCAGAATTCGCTTTCCAGGTTCTCTCCGGCCAGAGCTGCCGCCGGTCCACTGGCTTCGAATTCTCCCCATGATCACTCACTTGAGTCTTGGTTTGAAGTGAAAAGGACTCCTGTTGAAACGAAACTGATAAACTTCTCGTTGAAGTAACCGAAATCTTTGTGGCAACCGTTGGTTCCGAAGCATTGACATTGTTTCCTTTGGACACTCGCCGTCGGTCCGCAGATTGAGACCGTTTAGGAAGCGAATGAGGCGCCGTAGAAGACAGTGTGGTATTAGTCGAACGAGAGATAAGAGGTGCAGGAAATCTTGAAGTCGTAGTTTTGGCGGCCATTGTTGTTGCTTGTGAAGAAGAAACGGAACCAGAGGGAGACAAATACCTAGAGCAAACAGCTTGTATCGTATGCCCCCGATTTCTCTCGCAACAAACAGTGGAGCCATTGTCTTTAAGAACATGTCTTTCGGTTGTTCGGTTCTCTTCTTCATGGCTATTGGCTAGCTGTTTGTTGTCGTGTTTCTAAAAAAATGCAACAAACTTTAAATTCATAATGCTCCAAAGAATTTATTAAGAGAAGGATGGAATTGTGATTCTTACAAGCGAAGCTAAAGAAAACCTATTTATTAATCATGGTTTCAATATAAGGTAAATTATCTATTTAGTTGTTCAATTATTTTTGTGTATATGTTTTTATTACTCAATTTTTTTTGGTGGCATTTTAGTTATTAATATTACATTTTTATTCTATTTCAATAATTAATCGTTAAAAGTTTAATAAAGATATTGATGTGATCTGATGAAATAATAATTTGTCTCTATAACTTGTATATTTTATCAATTTCAATCTAATTTAAAATATTTAACAAACAATCAGTTGGTCAAGTGGAATGAGACACTAGGTCTTTTAAGCAAGGTTAAGGGTTCGAATCTTGGCGTTTGCAAATGAAGCAAACTGGGTTAAGAGAGTCGCCCTCGCCTCTGCAGGTAAATAAAATGTAATAATAGTCACCAAAATGTCAAAATAGAAAAGTTACAACAATAAGTTGGATGACTAATTAGACAGTTTACCCTTTAAAATTTTGCTTTTTTTCGTGCCATCTCTTGATTTTCTTTTTCTAATTTATCAGTTATCAACAATTTACATTAACATGGAAATTTGATAAGCAATATCCAAATGAAAAGAACATTACATGCTCGAACCAAGTGGTTTTCATCGTAAAAGAATTGTTAATATTCTTGAAGATCCAGGTTCGAGCACCATAGATGTTAGGGGTGTGAGCGTTAAATGTCGAAAGTTTGAGAGTGTTATAATCCCAAAATAAAATGAAAAGAACATTCAACACAAAAGTCATAATTTTTTTTATTAAATTACATGAAACTAATTTTACGCATTAAAAAATTCTCATCTTTACAAACTTGTGTTTTTATCAAACCAACTTAGAAACATGTCAAATTAAATTTAAGTCCAAGAAAAATCTTAGTTAAGGATCATACCCTATATTTATATTGCTTCAATTCTTAAAAAAAAAAATAGATAACCATGTTAGTTGAATATCCGACCTTAAGTATAAGAATATGATCCTCTAAAGACGTACCAAATACAAGTAAAAACTTTGAAAAATTTAAACATTCTTGTGTGGGTACTCACAAAACCTAAAATGATCATCACAATTAGCAGCAAACTAACAGACAAGTAATTTCATTGCAAATCGACGAAACGTTCTTAGTTCAACAACCACTTTAGGGTTCATACTAAATAAAAAAACAAGACATCAACGTAGGTACCTTCAAATGAAAGAAAAAACATACTATCAGCGGTTCATGCTTAAACAAAGTCCTTCCAACTTCACAACATATAAATTCTTCAGCGGTACTGCAAGATGAAAGCAAGAAACAACAGAAAGATTAAATAATTACAGTATGAAAAACCGTAAAGATTAAATTCTTCCATCAAGGACGAAGCGGAGGATCTCGACGGATGCCATTGTTGAAAACGTTGGAGAATAAAGAGACGAGAGTGGAGAAGAAGTATACAACTACAATTCAACATATATTAGTTTTGTTAAGATATATCAGGTTATTATGTTAGCTTGATGGTTGAGTGTTTAGTATTTGTTCATGAACTTTGGTTTGATTCCCTTGGAAAGTATTTTTTTTATCAAATTAACAAAACGATGTCATTTTGAGTTTTTAGTATTAAAACAGTTACGCCAAAACGACATCGTTTTGGTGAGGGAGCCACGTCAGCAACGTCACGGCGCGGAGACGTCATGTCATCGTTCCGTTATGTCATTAACAGCGGGGTGACATAATTGCAGTGAAACATAAACGTCAGTGATAAAATTAGCAAAATTGAAATGTCAGTGACATTTTCGAGCCCGAGCTTATTTGAAGTAGCTTACCCTTTATTTTTTGGTAAAAGTACATAAACAATACCCTGATTATAGGGTACTGCTTTGTTAAGTCACTTAATTATTGAAAGTTACAAAATGATCCTCTAACTATAGAATGTTGTTTTGTTAAGTCTCTCAATTATTAAAAGTTACAAAATGATCATTTGACTATTTATTATGTTCTAAACTCATGTTGTTTTTTTTACGTTAAGAAATTGACAATTGTCTAACTTGGACATTAACATGATGACTGAGATATGATAGTTATTTGAGATTATGGGATCGTATTTTATCGAATCACGGTCAGTAAGTTAATGTTCAGCTCAAAATATCGTCAAATTTTTAACGGAATAGGACGAGTTTGGTACATAATGAATAATTGGGTGACCATGTTGTAACTTTTCATAGTCGGAAGACTCAACAAAATGATACACTATAATCATAGGACTATTTTGTAACTTTTAATAAGCAAGATACTTAATAAAACAATATCTTATAATCGGGAGACTATTTATGTCCTTTATTTTATTTTTCGAATATAGAACAGTAAGGGTTTAGAGCCTCGAGCATCCTTGATCGGCACTATTCTTTATATCATCCAAACGGTCGTCTTCAACCTAAATAGAAGGTACAGGGGAGAACCAAATTGATCCGACCAAACCTAAACTTGTTAAGTCATGATCAGCAACTATATTACATTCAAAACAAGAACTCTATTGATAATTAATTAGTTGGTAAATATGGTAACAGCCTAAGGAGAACCTAAATTTCATACAACTTATTTAATTTAAAAATTAAAGCTTAATTGATAATATTGTTAATTGATCTACGATAATTTTTCTCGAATAATCTGAATTGATTATAAGATAATATACATTCATATTTTTTTAGCCATTGATAATACACACTTCTTACAGATGAAAATGAATACTTATTAAATTTTGATTTAAGTTAAACTTAAATATATGAAAATAATTATATTTCATGATTAGTTGCTTATCTCTTAATACAAATACCTATGAGGATTAATTATTATTGTGGACAATAAATATCTTGATTTTAATTTCTTTTGATGAATGGTATGACTATATAACAAAGTGGTTATACACAAGTAAATATTAGAAAAGGTCTATTCCTTTTAATTTTAATTATTTAGTATATTGATAAATTAATTTTGATTAAATATTATAAAATATTATTTATGAAGATAATTCTCTGAATTTAATTTATTAGGTTACAATTTAAACGTTTATTTTTACTTAAAAGTCTTAATATCTCATCTTATTAAATTAATGGATTGTTAATTCTAGTTTGATATCATTTAAGTAAGTCTCGAGTTTTAGATTTTGTGTATGTAAAAAAGTCTCCACTAAAAGACACATCCATCAAAACTAAATATACAACACGAATCAATTTGGATTAATCAGGACGAGACTCTTAAATCCGAGAGGGCAACCATAAAATATGGGTTGTTGCTTGTTGGTTCTAATATACTGTTTTGATAGTAAAGTAAATAATAAAAAATATGTCCGAAAATCCAAAAGCCCAAAAACGAGATTAAAAGGGAAAAAGGCACAAACAAACAGCCCCTAACAAGTTGCACCCCTGCAAATGTGAACAAGCGCGTTAGTTTATGTCCTAAGAATATAGTCAGCCTTCATAGTTAAAGGCCTGTTTGTTATTTCCCAGTTCGCGCTGATAGCATGGTAAATAAACAAAACACACAAAGAACCGATCACCAAACACTTCATAGAGGGAAAAACAAAAAGGAAAACTCGGAGTCCATAGCTAAACAGAACAACGTGCATCGATCCAGCTTGGTACGCCAATTGTCAATTCATTCTTTTGGGTTTTCCGATTCATATCCAAATCTCAAATGGGTATCGATAAGTATTCATTATAATTACTTAAATCCTTCGAATTTTGTTTGTTTGCTTTCGCTGATAAATTTTCTCGGTAATTCTTTGTTTTGCCTTCTTGAGTTGAATTTTCCACAAGTGTGATTTATGTTGATATTGTGGAAATAGGGTTTTTGAGATTGGGGTTTTCGGTTTTTTATTGAGGATTCTGTGATTGCCATCTGGGTTTTTGACTTTTGATTGAAAGTTAAAAGGTTTTGATGCAATTAGTATTTTTTTTTTGTTCTTTTGGTGATTTTTGAGTAAATTGGAGTTGAAGAAAATGGTCAACCAAAATCATGCTCGGATTGATACCTTAGAGCTAAGATCTCTTATTGTAAGAAAACTTGGGCATCAAAGAGCTGAGAAGTACTTTGATCAGCTAAGAAAGTTGTTTAATTTGAAAATTAACAAGTCCGAATTTGATAAATCTTGCGTTAAGGTCATTGGGAGGGAAAATATACCGCTTCACAACCGGCTTATTCGATCCATTATCAAGAATGCTTGCGTCTCTAAAGTTCCGCCTTTGAAAACAATTCGGAAAGTAGGAAGTAACCTTCAAGTCGGAAATGGTTATCAACGGAATTGTCTTCAGTATCTTTATGGGGATGCATTTCCACCCTCCCCTTACAAAGGTCGGTCCCCTATCAACCGGGATCGAAAGTTTCGAGACCGCCCTAGTCCGCTAGGGCCACTTGGGAAGACACAGAGTGTTGTATGCGAGGAGTCTGTTTCCAAGGCACAAGAGCAGAGTGCAACTGAATTGCTTTCACTTGGGAGCAGACCTCCTCTTGATGTTGCATCCGTGGAAGATGGAGAAGAGGTCGAGCAGGTAGCTGGAAGCCCTGGTGTTCAGAGTAGAAGTCCTGTTACGGCTCCTCTTGGTATCTCCATAAATTTCAGGGGAGCTCGTAAAGCTCTTCCAAATGTGTTCTCGTATAATAATTATCACCTCGAGATATGTCAAACTAAAGGTGAGCTACCAGATACGAGATCATTAAGAAGTCGTTTGAAGAAGAAGTTGGAGTCAGAGGGAATCAGCATTTCGGTGAATTGTGTTAACCTACTGAATAATGGCTTGGATGCATACATGAAAAGATTGCTGAAGGCCCCTGTAAAACTGGCAGCCGGGTTAAGGCCTCGAAGGTTACCTCCAAGTTACTTGCAACAATCAGAAAGATCTTTTTATGTATCGATGCCTGACTTTTGTGCTGCAATGGAACTAAATCCACAGGTGCTTGGAGAAGATTGGTCTATGCAACTTGAGAAAATTAGTCTTAGCTCTATGGAAGATTGAGGAGAACCTGGTTAAAACATAAACCAGCAATATAGCAGCTTAGGAAATTATCATTTGTGTCTTTCACGTTTAGATTGAAATATATATGTGATTCGGTTTCCTTTTTACAATCTATACTCTCTTAGCTATGCCATTGCAAAAGTTTATGATTTTTTTTTCTAGTGAATGAAGCCCTGACTTAGTGATAGTGAGAGGAGGTTTTGGACATTTGTAGGTCTCAAGTTCGAATCTCATCGAGTGTAGGTTTAATCCAAATTATTTCGTTACATCATACACTAGTCACTAGTCCATGTATTTCTTTTATTCTAGTTTATGTTACGAATATACATATTCAATATGAATATTTTGAGAAAAAATAGTACATCATGGACAAGTAATGGGATTCTTGGAAATGGGAATAATTATTTATTGATTTCTAGAAGAAAAACACCAGTATTGTTCTGAAATTTAAAGCAGCTTCATTAATCAAATTGCTCTTGGTCTCTAATCCACTTAGTAGCAACCCATTTCTCACCTTTGATCACTGGACAGCTTCCATGAAGAGATGTCTGCAAATAATGTTGAAACAGATAACTGTTAGAATCTAGCTCTAACCTGCAAACAATGTTATAAATCCCACTAACCCAACCAAACCAAACCAAATCTAAATCCGAACCATCAGTTTCAGTAAGTTCAACCGATTAACCCTAGTCTCATAAAGAGATAACCAACCCAACTAAATCAGTTTGGATATTGTTGGTTATGAACTGAAGTCCATTGGTTTCTCTTTGTTGGTTGGTTGATTTCGAGGAAATGAAGGGAAAACTTCTATTTGTTAACAAATCGCAAGCATGGAAATTACCAGATCAATGGTGCCATTCAAAAACAGCGAGTAGAATAACAGTCCGTCCCCTCTTTGCGGCTTTATCTTTAAACCGACACATTGTCTGTAGTCATAGCCTTCAATTCTCATGCCATTCTGCAACCAAAATAATGTGGTCAGTACTGAACTCCCGATAAATACTTATTAAGGAGAGAGAAAGCAAGTTAGCATTTTGATGTCTACCTCAAACGGGAACATTGTTTCTCCACCTTCTTCTACATCGGATAAATACAACAAGAATGATGCAACCTGTGAGAAAAGGTTCAACGTTAGTTAAGCACAATCTTTTAGTTCTTTGGCATTGACACTCGTAGAATGGGTTGGTGAAAATTACAGAAAACTTGGAGGAAACAATACAAGTTACAAGATGGATCCAGAAATAGCATGCACAAAGAATCATCGATAATAGACTATAAATGAGGTGAAGCTAGCTCGAAAAGATGAATTCATACTTATTGTCAATTCCAGTAACATGATGTCATTCAACTATGTACATCTATTTCTGATTCATTTACCAAGAACAAATAAGTAATTGTACCATCTTTAACCAATTGCTTCGTAACAAAAGGTTTTAGCATTCATCTAAAGATAAGTTTCGGTCATCATAATCACAACATAGAAGTTAGAACTTGAAACTTGTATATCAAAACAGATATAACTAAATTCTATATCCAACTATTCCATTTACACTATCGGCTTAAATGCAGACAGAAAACTGATCATTTCAATTCACCAGAAATGCACCTAAAATTCCAGAAACTGCAATCAAACAAGCATGCAACGGTGAAGTTCACGTGTATGACTGTACCCTTTGGCTTGACTGTGGACCGTATTCAGACGGATTGAATGCATCATAATGAGAATCATACTTCTGTCCAATCTCATACCGCAAAATATTAAATGCCTGCAATACGTATGGATTTCAACTTTAGAGCAATTAAAAAAATAACATAAAGAATGATTTAAGATACCAAATTTTCAGAGCACCAAGAGATACCGAGAGACTATTTGCGGCATATCAATCACAAACTTTTCAACAAACAGAACTTCAAGGAAAATCTAATTCGGTAAAATGATGTACCTCTCCATGACTCTGTGGAATGCTTGTAGCCTTTGCAATTTTTCTCTCAATCAAATCCAAGGTTCTGGTTTTATCTTCGGATGCACTAATAAAGGTTCCTGAACTGTTTCGTAGGAAAGTATAAATTGACAATGCAAGTTCTATGGCAACATCAGAGAGTGAGATATCAGCATTCACCAATTAAAAATATTCACTAGCACAAGGGTAAAATATTATCCAGCCTCGATGCTATTTGATACAGATAATAACATCATTGTCTTTTAATTTTCCATGGAACTCAAAATTGATAAGAAATCAATGGCAAAGCATAATTGTATTGTATTCATAAAAGGGTCGTCACCTTGTTCTGGTTCCTTTAGTGCTTTCTTCAGTTTCTCCCTTGCGTAAAGCCAAAGTAGATGGCTTGAGGTTCACCTTTGCCATTTCGATTATATGTTTGCATTGTTCCGCAGTTGCAAAGTTGGGAAAATAGTAAGCTCGTGGTTTCCAGCTTAAAACCTGCACTTTAAAGAGAAGCAAGCAAAGGAATTTAGTTAGCCTACAGAAAAGATACTTCACAATCGATTTCTTAACATCTTTTCCAGTTGGGTGGTTCCTTTTAAGATGTTCCAAGTTAAACATAGAATTTTGTCCAACATTTGCATATAAAATCTTTGTTCTTATCCCTTACTGCTTTCCTACTAGATTTGAAATCTCCTGTTTAACTTTGAGATGAACAAGCTTTGATAAAATATTAAATCTGGAAATACAGGTTGGACATGGATACTTTAGATAAAATGAAGAGTTCGGGTAACATATCATGGGAATACAAACCAACAGATTGCCTTGAATATTGCTACTCATAGATCCTAAACCATTTGATTGCATATGTATCCTCTCATTTTTCTGGGTTTTAACCACAAATTACAAAGAATCATGATTTTTTATTTTTCAATCATGGCTCTTATACCACCTAAATTTCAGAACACTTCAATTACCAATTCAAGAGCTACTATCAAGTATCAAGAAGTAAAGCCAAATGCAATAATCAAATCCTTCATGTAATCATCATCCAAAGCCAAATGAAGTAAACAATACCCCAAAAAAAATACTAGAGACAGAAGATGAAAAAGGACCTGAAAAGGGATGGATTCAAGCGAGCTTTCCCCAGTTTCTCCATTTGGCATCAGACCACCATGCTTCTCGCCTTCCACATGGACCACTTCCAGCTTTCTCAATACGGGTTTAATAACCGGCACATCCTACCAAAAAAAAACCATTACTTAACCGTTAGAACCCAATTCCTCACAAAGCTCAAACGAAGAACATTCATGTTTTACAAGTTACCTGGGAGAAGAAAGTTGAAACAAACAAGCCAGCAAGGAAACAAAGTAAGCACAATAAAAGGGCAGTTGCTTGCCCTAGCTTTCTCTTCGAGCTCTTCGATTTCCCTTTCATCAACGGATCCTTTTTTCGAGAAATTTTTCTTTTTTCGCCTTTTTTATTTGTTCTCTCTGTTCCTCTGCAGACTTCCAATGATGGGTTTTCTTATATTTTTTCCTCTGCAGTTTCTTTTGGCCGTGCTTAAGAAGAATGGACAAACGCGGCAATGGCGGGAGGGTTTTTTTCCCCCTCCTTGTCCTTTTGACTTATAAAGCTTTGAATTAGTGGATTTACACAAATGCAATCCACTACAATTACGGGTCAGTAATTCAATATTCGGCTTTTACATCAGTTGGGTGGTTATTTTGATCATCTCAATCTAACCCATAATAATATAAATTAATTGAAACCGATTTAAAATTTTATATTACACATTTTAAAAATATATATTATAACCAACGAGATTAGTTCAAGTGAAAAACGGTCTGATATCGTTTAAGTATGCCTTGAGTTTGAACTTTTATGTTTATATAAAATATCCGTTGGAAGATTCACCTACTAAAATCATGTATGATCAAGTCTGACAACGGGTAAGATTTGGGTGGCTTAAAGTTTCATCCACCCTACCATCCGCATCCAAAATTGTCATTCAACCCACCCACCACCCGCTTGATCATCGAATTAAATCCGTCCCACCTATTAATTGTGGATGAGACGGATGGGTCGGGTTATAAATGAGTTACAAAAAATTTTTGTTATTGTACTATTATTTCACCCTCTTCAAAAAAAACAAGTAAAAATATTTAATCCATTTTAAAAAACATAACAACAATTTAATAAATAAAACCAAATGCTAACAAATGAACCAAAAATTCAAACAAAACATTTACCACGAATATAAGCAAAATCAAATTCAATCAATTAAGAAATTGTAGGTGAAAGAAAAAATGTTGAAATCTAAATCAAAATAAAAAAAATCGAAAAATTAAAAAAAAGGTGCATACCTCTATAGTTCAATTCCTAGTTGAAATTACAGGAGAAAGTGTGAGAGTAATAAAAAAATGACGTTGAAATGAAAAAATGAAAAAATATTTTTAGGTTTTAGCCTAAAAAATCTTTAAAGCAATTAATATTTCTAAAATTAATATTGTATTGATGGTTAGATGGGAAGGTTGAAGGATCAGATGATGGGTTGAAAAATTTTCATCACCCGCTCCATCCACCATCCACTTCAAATGGATCAAACTTATGCTTCATCGGGTTTTCATCCATTTAATTGGGTTGAGTGGGCCATCATTCTTGGGTAATTGCCAACTTTAGGTGTGCGATGTCGATCTGTTCGAATTAGTCAAAATGAAGTCCTAGAACCAAGAGGATAACAATATATATATATATATATAATCAAAGAATTCAACAAAGTATTATCCTATAATTTGGACACCATCTATATACTTTATTCTTATAGAATATAGTAGAATGAAATTATAAAATTTTCAAAGATAACAAACTATAGTACAATTGTTCCAACATCTCTTTACTCCTTATCCACTCCAACCAATTAAAGTATCCTAAAGTTAGTGACAAAATAAAACATCATGTACTAAATTGAAAATAAAAATATATTTATTATATTAAAGATGGATAAAATACACAAATAATCTTTCAACTATAGAATGTGGCTTTGTCGACTTCTCCTACTATTAAAAGTTATAAGATGATCATATGACTATTCATATGTTCCAAACATGTCATTTTTCATTAAAAATTGACAGTAGTCTAAGTCAGACGTTAACCTATGGTATGAGATATGATAAAAGATCTTAGAATAATTTGGGTTGTATTTTGTGAATCGATTATTCGTTTACATTATATCGTCGAGCTAGTACTTGAAATATTATGTTGTCGAGCCAGTGCTTGAAAGCAACAGTGGTGCTAGTAAACTTAATTAAAATATGATTTTATTATATACTAGTGAGCATGATAACGTCCAACTAAGACGACTGTCGATTTTTAACAGAAAAATGATGAGTTAGAACATATGAATAGTTGAGTGATCATTTTATAACTTTTAATAGTTAGGAGACTCAATAAAGTATCTTCCTATAATTAAGAGATCATTCTATAATTTTTAAAATCAGATGACTCAACAAAATAGCATAATTGAATAATTAAGTACAATTTATGTACTAAATTACTATTTAACATTAGATATAATGGGCTAAAATGAATTAAGCCCGACCTTGAAGAACCGAATTTGACTTAATAAATTTTATCATTGTTTATTAGATTACGAACAAATTTTAAAAAATAAAAAAAAATTATAATTATAATAATGATATTAAACCCAAATTTATAAATCATCCCTTAATAGATTTTTGAGTTAATTACTTCAAATTTCTCCAAACTATGACTCTCATTTTAAATTAGTCCCTAAATTTTTTTAATATTATAATTTCATCCTCAAACTGTAATACTCATTATAAATTAGTCCTTAAACTTTTAAAAATTCCAATTTCATCCTTAAACTATGACCCTTATTCTAAATTAGTCCCTAAACTTTCCAATTTCATCCTCAAATTCATCCAAATTTGTAATTAATTTTAACCATAATTTAACCTAAACTTTTTTTCAAACATATAATAATATAACTTGACCCAATGATTTTATTAACATGGAATGTGAAGGGATGGAGCCATGATTCCAACTTAAGGGAGGGCAAAGTATAAGTAATCATAAAAATTGAGGGGGCAAAGTATAATTAACCATAGAAAATGAGGGGCCGAATCAAAATAAACTAAAATTTGAGACCCTAATTTAAAATTTTTCTATATATATTTTAATAAAAAAAAGGGGCAATGGCCCCATGTCAAAAGGTAGCTTCCTCCCTGGAAATGTGATTAGTATATGCATATAATTTTGGATGAAATTGAAACTTTGAAAATGTTTGGATACTAATTTAGAATGAAGGGTATAGTTTGGGGATTAAACTAAAATGTTCAAAAGTTTGATGACTAATTTAAAATGATAATCATAGTTTAAGGATGAAATTAAACCATTTAAAAGTTTAGGGACCAATTTAAAACAATAATCATAGTTTTAGGAGGGTATAGTTTGGGGATGAAACTAAAATGTTCAAAAGTTTGAGGACTAATTTAAAATGATAATCATAATTTAAGGATGAAATTAAACCATTTAAAAGTTTAGGAAGCAATTTAGAATGAGAATCATAGTTTGAGGACGTATAATGAAATTAACTCTAGAATTTGTATTATTTAATAAAAAAATGAAACGCAATCGAATGCGTGTTGATAAATACTTGCCCATTTGCATACCAGTTATGCTAAAGACCAATCGTTCACCATTTTTCAACCAATTTGTCACATTAATTTCCCCAAATATATTTGTTGATTATTTGTTGATTTAACTAGAGAAAAACATTAAATTTTTAATTAAAAATCCAAATTTTGATACGATAAATCAAACTAATAAAATTAAAAGAGACATCCTTGTTATATTATTTAATCTCAATTAATTATTTTAATGACTTAAATATCGATAATTAAAGAAAAATACATCAATATTCTAATATCCTTAATCGACCAAAACATACAAACAAAGCATCAATGTTATTAACCCACCCTTTTACAAAGCATCAATGGTGGTACTTCATTTACACTTATATTTCAAGCATATGCTTCTATGACCACTCTTTCTATTTCCCACAACAATATTCCTTCTATATACATGATACATTCGTCTCAATTTCATCAACAATATTCCTTCTATAAACATTTATATTTCGAGTTTTTTAATACCCGAATTCGAATTCCACTTTACATAAATCGTTTATTGTATTCAGATATGTAATCGGTGTTTGAAATTATCCCGAACTAATTCGAATCATTAATGTTTTGTATTAATCGTAATTGTTGATCAATGTGATTGTACTTGTGCCACTTACTATTTTCTTGAATCGATAAGGTCAAAATTCAATGATTAGAACGTGAGTTGTAATGGTCGCCAGAGGAATCATATATTAGTTGTAAAAAATAAAATTTTTATTCTTTCTGTTTATTGATGTCATTTTTCAAATATACAAACGGTAAACTATATAGATAGTCCTCTATGTTTAGGGTTTGACCTACTTTAGTCATCAATTTAAAAATTATGGGGAAATGGTCCCCAACCTTATTGATCCATTCGATTTTAGTCCCTTAGCCATTGATTTCAGTCCCTTAGCCATTGATTTCAGTTAACCCCCTTTTGTTTAAGTCCCTAACAAGGCTGAGGGACTAAAATCGAACGGTAGTTAACGGGTGAAGGACTAAAATCAAATAAATCGATAACGCTAGGGACCATTCTCCCTTAATTTTTAAATTGGTGACCAAAGTCTGTTAGACCGAAAACATAAGGGACTATCTGAATAGTTTGCCCATATTTAAAATATCATTTCCAAAGAAGTACGGATCAGCACTTCCAAGCACTATATAAGGCGACGAAGCTCCCTAGGTAACACCTTCACTACAGTTACCCTTTTATAAAACATGATCCGATTTTTCCCTCTTGTTTGCATGGGAATATTTGCCGTCGCCAAAGCCAAGACTTCGATGCTCAGGTAACATTGATTATACATTAAAATTTTATCTGTTTTTTGTTTGAATATTCTATAGCGTTCTGTTTTGTCTCAGGGAAGCTAAGCGATCATTCGATCGTCCGTTGAGCAAGATTGTCAGTGTCGATCGGGAGACTATCGAGAAGTATCGGAAGTCGTCGTCAAAGGGTAATGACATAAAGGATTCATGGTCCTGGGTTCCGCATCCAAGGAGCGGGATATATTTCCCCGAAGGCCACGAATGGGTGATGAAAGACGTTCCGGAGGGAGCGGCGTCGTTGGATCAGACGTATTGGCTTAGGAATGTTGACGGTGTCGATAGACCGGAGCCATCGGATCGTGAATATTTTCCGAGCGACCAGCAACATTCCCATGCAAATATTTGAGAGCAAAAAACCGGAGTATTAATATTTAATGGAGTAAACATTAATAGACTTAGTGTTAGGATCTTTAAGGGATTTTAAATAAATATTTTGGCCTAGGATGAAATTGTAGATAATATGTACAATATATATAATGTTAAACATAAATATTAATATTTTTATAATTAAACTAAATCAATATTATTAAATATTAATTGAACAATTACAAAAGAAAAAAGCAAGTAAACAATGAAGCACGCCATCTTTGAATAATTGGAACGCAGCATATGCCTAACACTGTATCCTTGTATACATAAAAGAACTCCATCTGCATGAGAGTATAAGGGCCTAATCCTGGTCTGAATCCGGCCTCTGCCGATTTGCAGTTCTGTAGACAGATGGAATCTCTTGTGTCGGAGCAACTCTAGATAACCTCCTCATCACCACCGCCGTTGTCCTCAGGACTTCTTGTCGAGGAAAGTTCGATTAGCTCCATCCTGTACTCGAGGCCTCTAAGGTAGTGCCCCAATAGCATACACCTTCAGAGAAGAAATGAGAACATCAGAGGACACATTTTCCATTTGAATGTTTTGGCTGAGTGACTGATCTTATTCACAGTTTAAACACGCAGAACAGCTATCGGATCTATGATCCATTTTGACAATGGCGGGACGTTAATTTCATATCGAGTGTGTGTTGGGGAGGCCAGGGAAGACGGATTAGATAAAGAGGGAATGCGGATGTCTTTTCTTTATTGAATAGGATTCTCAACATTTCTGAGTGTCCGGCAAAGGAGACGCAGCATCGAACATGTTGGTTAAACACAAGTCTAACCAATATGTAATGAGCAATAAATGCAGATTTTTAGATGGACTAACCAGAAGAGAAAACGAGCGAGATAGTCTCGTGTTAACAAGATGGTGGGCTTCAAAAGTGAAGCATTCTCAACAAATTCAATACAATCTTCACTCACGACATTATTTACCGCTCCAGTTGCTGGGTTCCCTAAAAAAGGAGGAACCTTGGAATGCATAGTTGGAGAAAGGGTAGCAAGGAGTTCATGGACTACAGAGTGTACTGCTTCTCTCGCTTCAAGGGATGTTGGTTCGGAAAGCTCAGCTACCTGAAATTCATGTCTGTATTTTATTAGCCATAAAAGTACGGAATTTAACTGAAGTTCATTGATAAATAATAAGTTTCAGTAAATAAATTTGCTCTAAAAAGTTCTTTTGATCAAGGGCAGCCTTATCTGTCTCGAGTGGTCTAAGTAGTCAAGTAAATCGTTCTTTTCTTCCCCAGCAATTTGTTGCGTTTGCAGAGCAGCATTTTTCCTCCTGATTTAACGAAGTTCCTTCAATCGAGCAAAAGGAAACATGAGCATGTATCCCACCAAAATACAGATACGGAAATGTTTCTGTTGATCGGATTGACATGTCTAACAAGCTAACTTGTTATTTGTAGCCTTTCTGGCATCATGTTAGTGCTTCACACCGATGAAAACTATTAAACTTTTTTGAGGATAAACTGCATTGATGATCACTAAAGTTTTAATAAACTTTCATTTTGCTCATTGATTTTTTAAAATATTTATTATACAATTAATAAATTTTAAATTCTTATGTAAGGCTAAGTGGGTAACCACCCTACCTAAACTTTTTGTTATAAAAAAAATAATTCATTTTCATTAAAATCATTGCTATTAGATGTTAATAAAAGCTTACATGACGCATTAAAGACTTATGTCCAGAAAATCCCTATGATTTTAAATTGGATATCGTCTTAAAAAGTTTTCTATGAATGAACCAAACGCTTGTTAATTTTAAGTAGAGAATATTTCATTTGACTAGAAAATTAACATAGTTTGATTTTAAATTGATCAACAACAGAAGTTTAAAAAGTTTTAGTTTTAATCGAAATTTAAGAAAATCGAAAGATTTCTTGACGATTTGGAAATAAAGACTATTTTTTCTATTTACTCGTCATTCACTCAGTTACGACTAGGTACGGTAATTTCACCCGTATCCAACGGGTTTCGACCCGATTGGGTCGAATTTTTATTAAAAAAATTTAGGTTCGGTTCGGGTCGAGTCGGATTCAGATAGAGGGTGAAAAAACTTCGACCCGAAGATAATGATGTAATTTCCTTCATAATTTTATTATTTTTAATCAAATCCTTAATTTATACCATGTCGGAATCAAGTAAATGATATATATTTTTCGGGTTTAAATAAACCGAATGTGGATACAAAATTTTCTGGTCAATTCGAACTCGGGTGGAGAGTTTATATTTTCAAGTCGGGTCATAAAAACCCAACCCTAACCCCACTTGCCATACAACTTACGGCAAACAAATTTTGAAATTTCAAAGGCTTAATCTTTATTGCATTGTAATAAGTTCAATCTCTTTTCCACAGCCACGAAGATTTCGTAACTTATTTTTCCAGGTTACTCGTCGTTCGTCAAATTCTTCCAAGAAATTTCAATTTTCTACAATGGAGGAAGCTTCGACCGGAACTTCACTGCAAAGACCATTAACGAAACAATGCTTTTCAAACTTTCCTATATAAACGTTGTAAAATGAAAACCATACAACTAATTCACCAAACCAAAGAAAAAAATGGCCCATCACCAAGTCTTCTTCTTCGTTTACCTGCTCGCAGCACTAGCCACCTTGCATGGCTCCTCCGCCGTCGACTACACCGTCACAAACGAGGTCCCCACGACTCCCGGAGGCACCGTATTCGACAACGAGCTCGGCGTCGAGTACACGAGGCAGCAAATGGATTCGGTGTAACCCCCCAGACCGATGCGGGTAGCCCGATCCGATCTAGGGTGTCACATTAGGGCCACCGGAGCGACCCATTGTAAAAATAGCGGAAAATTTAAATCTTTTTATCAGAACATGTAAACTTATAAAATCATTTGTCACTATTTAAAAATAAAACATATTTCCAGACTCGTATATAAATCAAAATACAATTACATGCCCCCTAATCACATGTACCATACTCTGCAACAACGCCGGAAGAACTCCCTTACTGAAGTCGATAGATGCACTGGTATAATTCTTTTAACCTGAAAAGGTGAGTAATAGAGTGAGCTTCGAAAAGCTCAGTAATACAGAACTACCAGATAATGCTGATGAACGTGCAGATACAGATAAAATATTTATTTCCTTATTGTTTCCGAACATTTACATATTTTTATGCTGAGCAGAGATCCTACTGATATTTCAGGTGGTAACGGACAATGAGCTTTCAGTTCAGAGAAATATTTTGGATGACTGAGTTAAGGAGATCAGAATAGGTTTTCTAGTGTATTCCCCAAAAACCATGTAACTTTTCAGATCTTTTTAAAACATATATATATATATACCCCCATCCCAACACAACATAATGTGTAGGTTCCCCAGAACCATACACCCAACCCAACACAACATATAAGGCCCTGAGCACAAAGCCGAGGAACCTGCGGAACTTCTTCCTTCAACAATACCCCCCATTTAAAACATTTCTCCGTCGGTAAACGGAGATATCAAAAATCAAAACATAATTCAGATCAGATATCATAACAGAATCCAGATTAGGAATCAGAACAGATTTCAGATCAGATGTTTAAACAGAATTCAAATCAGAAATCAGATAAAATATTCATATAAGTAGGGAACACACTAGAGTTTCCAGATATTATTTAGAGATACAGGATAATCTTATCGGCAGAGAAACGCAAATCTTCAGTTTACCAATAGAATGCCGAAATTAGAATCACTATTAGAAGAGTTTGTTAACTGACAAAATCATCGGTTATTCAGGATATGATTCATCGGGATCATCTTATTCGTACACTTTTCTGAAGCTCTACGAAATTTGAAGGTATTCTGAATCTTTACAATCTATGACGATTAATCCGATTATCGAACAACTCCAGATGAATAGCTTTTGGAACCAATACTTACCAACTTGTCAATTCATTAACCTTTCAGGGTATTTACTCTTTAATACCAAATATTCTTATCCACAAATCATCATCTGAGTCATCACTGAATAGATCTTAAGGAGACAAGCAAATATTCTAATGGTCTTTATTTTATTTCCATGTTTCAACTATACCATGAAATGCTGACGTACTTGATTTGTGGTTCATAATCCATAGGGATGATACATCATATAAGTTCATCCGAGTTTTCAAACTTATTCCAATCTCTTACTTAATCCTCAGTCATTGAGGTTACTTAGTTCATTTAACATTCAAGTCCAATCCAGTTACTTCGGGATTTTCCAGAATAATTTAAACGTTCCTGAATTTCAGATACATGTTGTACTTCCATTCTATTCAATTTGGTCTTCGTGGTTGATTTGTCGAACAAACGTCCAATTCCTAGTACTGAATACGATCTAGATCTGAGTTGAACTGAATACTTCCAAAATTTGTCATCGAGCCAAACTTGAGAAGACGAACACATGTTCCAGTAATATCTATGCCAATCAGGTATTGACATAGCTTTAGGGTTGATCTACTCACTTAAATTATTTTCCATTACCTTTAAAGGTAGTTCAATACCCATGCTTACTTGGATTCCTTAATTAATCCAAGATATTTACTTAATTTAGGCCATAAGGGTATTTTGGTAATTTTGATGTTCAGTTTTATTCCATTCATTTCAGAGCTCGAGGATATTCAATCATTCCTGAGCTTGGTGATATTCTTGGGTCATTTCCATTACAGGGGTATGTTGGTCATTTTACAGATCCACGATATTTCAATCTTTTTCCTCCATCCAGTCTTATTATTTAATTCCAATTTATATCTTTTTCCTCCATCCGATCTTATTATTTAATTCAATCTCATCATTTGTTTCAGTCCTTTCGAATAATTCTGACAGCAGAATACCCCCGATAAATTATTCTTCAGGTATTTACTCATTTCTCGGATATTTTCGGGTCAAGTGCCTTCTCAGATTTTACAAACAGAATATCATGAATTTTCCTGCACTAAGTCAGGATCTTAACAATCAAATCTGTACTTAATCGAGTTAAGTACGAATCCTCTAAGTATTTTCTTATTCAGGGTTAACTCAGACTATTCTATCTCTTAAGGGCATTTCTATAATTTCTTAACCAGATAAGTTCGATATTAGCTCTTAACGAAAATAATATAATTTAGAGATCCTATGATTAATTGCTTTCTTGAACACTCTCTGATCTTGAAATAATTCCCTTAACACACTTCTAGTATCTTGTATAAACCCTCTTGGGGTTAAAAACCGGTTATCCATAATTTCTAAGTATAACTATCATTTCTTATGCACATCAATATTTATCGTATCAATATGTCTTTTCAGATTTATTAGTCCACTTCTAGGGACAATTCTTATCATTTTCCAATATAAGGGTAATTTCGTATTTTTACCATACCGAAGTATTCTCATAATTTCCCATCCAAGTACCTTTAACATTTAATCCTTTGATGATATAAAATATAATTTACAAATCCATGTCTGATTTCTTTATCACTATTCACAAAATTGTAATTTAATTCTAACAATCTTTCAATCTCATATATTAGTCATTCGATCCGTATTCAGTTACAGAATTTCTACCACATTCATATCGAGTGAATAAATTATTCAACTCCACAAAAGTGACCAACATTATCTTATTCATGCATTTACCAATATCAACATGTTCCATAAAGCATAAAGAGGTAGTAAAGTATTACCTTGATTTCCGTGCAATACTGATCGACCATAAAAATTCCATTCGAACGCCTTTGATCTTCAATTCAACTTCCAATAATTCCTCAGATACATATCAACATAAATTATATCAGAAACGGAGCTTAATTACGATAAACGGATCGAATCGGGTGATAAATTAGTGGAAGACGGCTTACCGGGTTCGAATTTGGCAAAACGGACTTCGGATTCGGATTCAGAACGTCGAAAGCATAAAATATGACTTTTCGAAAATTTGGAATTTTCGGTCAAAATCAAAGTCAACGGGTTTGACTGACAATTTCGAGGCCTTCGGGTTTGAATTTCGAAAAACGGACAGCGGAATCGGATTTGGAACGTCGAAAAATGTCAGGATAGGTATACTCGGTCGAAGTCAAAGGTCGTTTAATGCCCGATCAAAGCCGGTCAAAGTTTTGGTCAATAGTGGTCAACTCCGGTCAACGGTCAACGGGTCAACGGTCAACGGGTCGGGTCAACGGGTCGGGTCGGGTCAACGGGTCGAGTCAACGGGTCGAGTAAACGGGTCGGGTCGGATTGTGACCGGTCAAACCGGTCAAAACAGTTCCAAAACCGATCAAACCGGTCACTTTTCCCTTCCCCACGCGCAGTGGAGGCGCGTGGGGGCGCGTGAACAGTGATAAAATCCCGGAAAAATTTCTAAAAATTATTTTGAGCGATTTCGAGATACTTACAAAGCTCGGTTCACAATTTTGAACGGCGGAGAGCTCGATTTCAACAAATCGGGAAGTTTGACCGATTCACCTCCCAACGCGCCGCCGCTGTCGGAGAAAAAGGAGAACACCGGTGGACTCGGAACGGCACAAGGAACACGATGGTGCGGGAGGTGTCGTAAACGGATGACCCGATCATCGTGAATCGATGAAAAACCAACTAAAACTGAGTTATTACCGACGATACTTCCGACTGAAATTCACGACGAACGGCGATGATTCACGACGAAAGGTTTGAGGGGTTTTGTTCCTCGGTTGACAACGAACACGATGGTTGTTTCGGCTTGTCGTTTGGAGGTCGGACGGCGAGTAGATCGGAGTTGGAAGTAGGGAGAACGGGAGAGGAAAACTGGAAAATTTTCCAGAAACATACGGGAGTCTGGGGGGTTTATAACATCTCATAATTAAAAATGGCTAAAGCAAGAGTTTAGCCACTGAACTTCCTGCACTTCTTAAAACGGTATGTCAACTTTGAAATCTTACAATTTAATCCCTTATTTCTTTCAAAATACCAAATTAAATCCACCAATTTATATTTTCTTAAATTTAGCCCCTAAATTGGGGTGTTACAATTCTCCCCTCCTTAAAAAAATTTCGTCCTCGAAATTCATTCATGTCACATAATTGCATAAATGAAACTTCCATCAGTTCTTTCAAATCTATCAATAGCTTTTATAAAAGTACGATTCCTCCACTTATCCTTAACCAACTGAGCATACATTCTTATCATAAATTTTCCTTATTTCAATAAAAGAATTTAAAATTTTCTCGAGTAATCAATCTCTTCAGAATTCTCCCTCAGTCCACGTAAATAATCAGAACAACTTTATTCTTGTGAAATCAATTCAGCATTGGATACGTGAATAGGCTCGTAGAGCAGCAACATATCTCAATTTCATTTCCGGAGTCGAGTCAGAAATTCTCAGATGAATAACTCTCACATGGCTCATGAGATACTTTACAGCGTTTAGACAGATGTTACTGGTATTCCTTTTTGTACAAGTATAGCCTTAGCATATAGAAACTTTGGTTTACTCAATACAGATAGGGACTCAGCCCTGGAGTTCCGGCTCAGAGAGGTACGATTGCAGTCTAGGGGCATGTACTGATCAGACATATTTTGACATTTGACCGGCCGGTCTATCTTGAAAAATTTTGACTCAAACCATAGCTCTGATACCACTAAATGTAACCCCCCAGACCGATGCGGGTAGCCCGATCCGATCTGGGGTGTCACATTAGGGCCACCGGAGCGACCCATTGTAAAAATAGCGGAAAATTTAAATCTTTTTATCAGAACATGTAAACTTATAAAATCATTTGTCACTATTTAAAAATAAAACATATTTCCAGACTCGTATATAAATCAAAATACAATTACATGCCCCCTAATCACATGTACCATACTCTGCAACAACGCTGGAAGAACTCCCTTACTGAAGTCGATAGATGCACTGGTATAATTCTTTTAACCTGAAAAGGTGAGTAATAGAGTGAGCTTCGAAAAGCTCAGTAATACAGAACTACCAGATAATGCTGATGAACGTGCAGATACAGATAAATATTTATTTCCTTATTGTTTCCGAACATTTACATATTTTTATGCTGAGCAGAGATCCTACTGATATTTCAGGTGGTAACGGACAATGAGCTTTCAGTTCAGAGAAATATTTTGGATGACTGAGTTAAGGAGATCAGAATAGGTTTTCTAGTGTATTCCCCAAAAACCATGTAACTTTTCAGATCTTTTTAAAACATATATATATATACCTCCATCCCAACACAACATAATGTGTAGGTTCCCCAGAACCATACACCCAACCCAACACAACATATAAGGCCCTGAGCACAAAGCCGAGGAACCTGCGGAACTTCTTCCTTCAACAATACCCCCCATTTAAAACATTTCTCCGTCGGTAAACGGAGATATCAAAAATCAAAACATAATTCAGATCAGATATCATAACAGAATCCAGATTAGGAATCAGAACAGATTTCAGATCAGATGTTTAAACAGAATTCAAATCAGAAATCAGATAAAATATTCATATAAGTAGGGAACACACTAGAGTTTCCAGATATTATTTAGAGATACAGGATAATCTTATCGGCAGAGAAACGCAAATCTTCAGTTTACCAATAGAATGCCGTAAATTAGAATCACTATTAGAAGAGTTTGTTAACTGACAAAATCATCGGTTATTCAGGATATGATTCATCGGGATCATCTTATTCGTACACTTTTCTGAAGCTCTACGAAATTTGAAGGTATTCTGAATCTTTACAATCTATGACGATTAATCCGATTATCGAACAACTCCAGATGAATAGCTTTTGGAACCAATACTTACCAACTTGTCAATTCATTAACCTTTCGGGGTATTTACTCTTTAATACCAAATATTCTTATCCACAAATCATCATCTGAGTCATCACTTAATAGATCTTAAGGAGACAAGCAAATATTCTAATGGTCTTTATTTTATTTCCATGTTTCAACTATACCATGAAATGCTGACGTACTTGATTTGTGGTTCATAATCCATAGGGATGATACATCATATAAGTTCATCCGAGTTTTCAAACTTATTCCAATCTCTTACTTAATCCTCAGTCATTGAGGTTACTTAGTTCATTTAACATTCAAGTCCAATCCAGTTACTTCGGGATTTTCCAGAATAATTTAAACGTTCCTGAATTTCAGATACATGTTGTACTTCCATTCTATTCAATTTGGTCTTCGTGGTTGATTTGTCGAACAAACGTCCAATTCCTAGTATTGAATACGATCTAGATCTGAGTTGAACTGAATACTTCCAAAATTTGTCATCGAGCCAAACTTGAGAAGACGAACACATGTTCCAGTAATATCTATTCCAATCAGGTATTGACATAGCTTTAGGGTTGATCTACTCACTTAAATTATTTTCCATTACCTTTAAAGGTAGTTCAATACCCATGCTTACTTGGATTCCTTAATTAATCCAAGATATTTACTTAATTTAGGCCATAAGGGTATTTTGGTAATTTTGATGTTCAGTTTTATTCCATTCATTTCAGAGCTCGAGGATATTCAATCATTCCTGAGCTTGGTGATATTCTTGGGTCATTTCCATTACAGGGGTATGTTGGTCATTTTACAGATCCACGGTATTTCAATCTTTTTCCTCCATCCAGTCTTATTATTTAATTCCAATTTATATCTTTTTCCTCCATCCGATCTTATTATTTAATTCAATCTCATCATTTGTTTCAGTCCTTTCGAATAATTCTGACAGCAGAATACCCCCGATAAATTATTCTTCAGGTATTTACTCATTTCTCGGATATTTTCGGGTCAAGTGCCTTCTCAGATTTACAAACAGAATATCATGAATTTTCCTGCACTAAGTCAGGATCTTAACAATCAAATCTGTACTTAATCGAGTTAAGTACGAATCCTCTAAGTATTTCTTATTCAGGGTTAACTCAGACTATTCTATCTCTTAAGGGCATTTCTATAATTTCTTAACCAGATAAGTTCGATATTAGCTCTTAACGAAAATAATATAATTTAGAGATCCTATGATTAATTGCTTTCTTGAACACTCTCTGATCTTGAAATAATTCCCTTAACACACTTCTAGTATCTTGTATAAACCCTCTTGGGGTTAAAAACCGGTTATCCATAATTTCTAAGTATAACTATCATTTCTTATGCACATCAATATATTTATCGTATCAATATGTCTTTTCAGATTTATTAGTCCACTTCTAGGGACAATTCTTATCATTTTCCAATATAAGGGTAATTTCGTATTTTTACCATACCGAAGTATTCTCATAATTTCCCATCCAAGTACCTTTAACATTTAATCCTTTGATGATATAAAATATAATTTACAAATCCATGTCTGATTTCTTTATCACTATTCACAAAATTGTAATTTAATTCTAACAATCTTTCAATCTCATATATTAGTCATTCGATCCGTATTCAGTTACAGAATTTCTACCACATTCATATCGAGTGAATAAATTATTCAACTCCACAAAAGTGACCAACATTATCTTATTCATGCATTTACCAATATCAACATGTTCCATAAAGCATAAAGAGGTAGTAAAGTATTACCTTGATTTCCGTGCAATACTGATCGACCATAAAAATTCCATTCGAACGCCTTTGATCTTCAATTCAACTTCCAATAATTCCTCAGATACATATCAACATAAATTATATCAGAAACGGAGCTTAATTACGATAAACGGATCGAATCGGGTGATAAATTAGTGGAAGACGGCTTACCGGGTTCGAATTTGGCAAAACGGACTTCGGATTCGGATTCAGAACGTCGAAAGCATAAAATATGACTTTTCGAAAATTTGGAATTTTCGGTCAAAATCAAAGTCAACGGGTTTGACTGACAATTTCAAGGCCTTCGGGTTTGAATTTCGAAAAACGGACAGCGGAATCGGATTTGGAACGTCGAAAAATGTCAGGATAGGTATACTCGGTCGAAGTCAAAGGTCGTTTAATGCCCGATCAAAGCCGGTCAAAGTTTTGGTCAATAGTGGTCAACTCCGGTCAACGGTCAACGGGTCAACGGTCAACGGGTCGGGTCAACGGGTCGGGTCGGGTCAACGGGTCGAGTCAACGGGTCGAGTAAACGGGTCGGGTCGGATTGTGACCGGTCAAACCGGTCAAAACAGTTCCAAAACCGATCAAACCGGTCACTTTTCCCTTCCCCACGCGCAGTGGAGGCGCGTGGGGGCGCGTGAACAGTGATAAAATCCCGGAAAAATTTCTAAAAATTATTTTGAGCGATTTCGAGATACTTACAAAGCTCGGTTCACAATTTTGAACGGCGGAGAGCTCGATTTCAACAAATCGGGAAGTTTGACCGATTCACCTCCCAACGCGCCGCCGCTGTCGGAGAAAAAGGAGAACACCGGTGGACTCGGAACGGCACAAGGAACACGATGGTGCGGGAGGTGTCGTAAACGGATGACCCGATCATCGTGAATCGATGAAAAACCAACTAAAACTGAGTTATTACCGACGATACTTCCGACTGAAATTCACGACGAACGGCGATGATTCACGACGAAAGGTTTGAGGGGTTTTGTTCCTCGGTTGACAACGAACACGATGGTTGTTTCGGCTTGTCGTTTGGAGGTCGGACGGCGAGTAGATCGGAGTTGGAAGTAGGGAGAACGGGAGAGGAAAACTGGAAAATTTTCCAGAAACATACGGGAGTCTGGGGGTTTATAACATCTCATAATTAAAAATGGCTAAAGCAAGAGTTTAGCCACTGAACTTCCTGCACTTCTTAAAACGGTCTGTCAACTTTGAAATCTTACAATTTAATCCCTTATTTCTTTCAAAATACCAAATTAAATCCACCAATTTATATTTTCTTAAATTTAGCCCCTAAATTGGGTGTTACATTCGGCCTCGCAGTTCATCTGGAACCTTTTCAGGCAGCCCGACCCGGCTTCCAGAAAGAACGTTCAAGGCGTTAGCCTATTCATAGTCGATAACCTGGATCCGAGAGCAGTCGCCGTCACCAGCAACGACAAGATCAACGTCAGCGCTAAATCGATGGAAGGTCTAACCGGCGATCAACTGAAACGGAGCTTCAACGGGGTGCTTTACCACGAGATGGCTCACGTGTGGCAGTGGAACGGGAACGGGCAACAGGGGGACGGCCATCTCGGGGGATTGATAGAAGGGATAGCGGATTTCGTACGGCTGAAAGCTGATTACGTTCCCGATGGGTGGGCACGACCAGGAGATGGCGAGAATTGGTACGAGGGGTACGCCGTTACGGCCTGGTTTTTGGACTATTGTGAGGGTCTGAAATCTGGGTTCGTGGCGGAGCTTAACGGGAAGCTCAGAGATGGGTACAGCCCCGATTTCTTTTTCCAGATTCTGGGCAAGACTGTTGATCAGTTGTGGACTGACTACAAGAATCAGCCAAGAAATTAAACACACGTCTATGCAGAGGGAGAGAATAATTAATAATCAATTACTTATGAATAAGCTCTACCTCTCTATTTGTACTTGACTACATGATTGAATAAAGGATGATTACATCTAGGGGTAAATTATAAATGAGGATGACAATTTAACATGTATTCGACGGGTTCGATATGATTCAATTTGATAGTATCAAATTTTTTTAAATATTAAATTTGGATCGAGTTGAGTAGGATATTTTAAGAGGTGAGATTAGGTCGGGTTCAGGGGAGGGTGGAAAAACTCCAACTAAAGAATAATTATGTAACTTTTTTAAAAAATCATTATTTTTATTAAATTCTTATTTTATATCAAGTCGAATCAGATGAAATACATCAAAATTTTAGATCAAATAGAAGATATATATTTTCGAGTGAGGTTAAGTTGACCAAAAACCCAACCCTTGTCATCCCTAATTATAACAATGGCCACTTATTTATTCAACTATAGTCAATCAAATCACTTATTATTATTAGGTAATATTAAACGAAAGATCTAACATTAATGTTAAAGGATACATTTAATTCATAACATTTATATATTTTATTAATTCAGATATATTACACATCAATTACGTGCTCAGGCCTTCCATATCATATCATACGGCCTACTATTGGCAAATTATCACTACGGTTAGCACGATATGAATGAATGATCTCACTGCACTAGTTATTGCCCACGTGATCTTTGAATGCCACGTAATCTGATTAGGGATGACAATAGGATGGGTTAACGGATTTGAATTTAATTTTATATTATAATATAAGATTCGACTTTAATCTTACCGAATTTAATTCTTGGGCAAAGTACATAAATAGATCCTGACTATAGGATACTGTTTTATTGAATCATTTGATTATTAAAACTTATAAAATGATTCTCTAACTATAGAGTGTTGCTTTGCTGAGTCCCTATAAACTTTTGTATACTAACATTTTAAATAGATGCAATTTAGTACATTTTTATATTAATTTCAACTTCACATTTTAAAATTATTTTGATTTGATCCCTTATCCATTAGTTATGTTTAATTTTTTTTTTGTAATTTCATGTTTGTTCAATTTAGTCCTTAAAATTATATTTTATCAAAATTGATCCATAATTATTTATAGATTTTGTAATTTACTGTAAATCATATACAATTATAAATTTCAATTCAACGTTCATGAAAGGCAAAAAATAATTAATCCAAAAATGACTCGACCTGAAGTCAATTCGTATCCGGTAGGGTTCGACCTAAATTTTGTCTGTCAATGATGTGACCCGATCTGAACGAGATCTGACTAAAGTTCATCCGAACCTGAATTAACCCAGTATTTAACTGCTTCGAACTTGAACTGTTTTGACCTGAACTTACATCGATCCGAACTAAAATTAACCTGACCTGAACCCGAACTGAATCTGATGTCAAATCAAAATGAAAATGACCCGAACTGATCTGAGTTGAACTATCAAATTAACTTGACACAACTTGTATCCGCTTTAACCTGACCTGACAGAATCCGACTGAAACATGAACGATTATCTGATTTTACATCGCTCGACGAGTATCTATTAGCCTATTAATGATTAGCGTCGTTAAACACTGTTTAGAGTTAAAAGATCACAAACACAATATTTCAAAATCTCGTAACATGATACGAAAATTAACTTGCCATTTAAAATATTTCATCCCTGGCTAGTACAGGTAAACCCAATTTTACTTATGAACCCTTCAAATTTTAAAATTTATTAAATGAGAAAAATATACTTAAATATTCTCAGATTTATAAACATAACTGCTTAATGTTATGTTATGTTTGGAAGCATGGATTTGGATTTTATTTTTTTACATAAAAAATGAAATGCATAACTTGTAAATAAATTAAATAGATTTAAATATAGTAAGTTAATTGTGAATGCAAATTCTAAATTCATTCAGTGTGTATATATATATATTTTAAAATAATAAAAAAAAACAGTAGATGTGTAGAAGTATCCATAAAATAATTTAAATATTTATAATATTTAATATTATATCTAGAATTATATATTAGAAGAATCTAGATGTTTCTTATTTTAAATGACTAAGATGTTGACATATCCAATGACTATTAAAATCTATAAATAAGGTTGAGTTTACTATTGTAGTAAGAGTGAAAAAGAGGTAAAAGAATACCAAAAATGTGAACTAGAGAGAGAGAGTTTAGATGTAGAGAATAAAAAAAATAATGAAATAAGTGAGTAATATTGTCATTGTATTTTGTTTTACACTAAGAGATTGCAATGGTAATAATCCTAAAAAGAAAACAAAAATCTGAAAAAATAAAACTAATATTGATATTGAATTTTTCCATATTTTATTTAAATATGGTAAATTATGTAAAAAAAAAATAAGATTTGAATTTAGTATTATTTTTAACTGTTAAAAGTATAATAAATTAAGTAGATAAAGTTCCTTTAGTCATTACTTGGTGTCGAGAATCAACTAGTTAAGTTTCTTATTAATTACATTTTTATTTAGGTATGAAAATTCTTCTAGCTATTACCTTGTGTCTAGAAACAAGTTAAATCTGTTAGACATCTTATTTAGACACTATGAAACATGTTACATATTCAATTGCTGTTGTTGGTAAAGTTTCTAATTGTTATGAACTTTATATAGAAGCAATATTATTCTTATTAATAGAGGGATAGTACTATTCACTTGATGATAAGTGTTACTTATATCTGATTGAGAAAAGTTTTAGTATTGTTCTAAGCTTTCAGGGATAACATGTATTCATTATGTTGTTGCAATCTTCGGGACCATTAATTGTAATATATATATATATATATATATATATATGTTGTTCTATGTTTTATTAGTATTAGAATTTCATGTTACATTCATATATTTATTAACAAAATTATAACTTCATTAACATGTTCATATTTTTTTGTTTGTATCGAATTTAATTTTTCAATACCTCCATATAAATTGTGATCAAGTGTTTTAGAATTAAAATTTAATTTATTGGGTTTTATTTGTGTTTTTGTTCCATTCTCCCTGGCATTTAATTATCCTAGTGTCATCATTCAAATGAATTAGGAATGTATCGTTATGCCATTTGGGTTTACAGAAAAGATGTAGACTATATTTAATTATTAAATTTATTTTTACATATATTAAATTATATATTTACATATTTAAAGTATTCGACGAAAATAAGAACCGATCATATATAACTTTGTGCATCAATAGACCTTATCAAAAGAAATCATTTACGAGGGCATAGGAAATCGAAGAAGATACCAACATATAAGGGCATAGGATTCACTTACATCCGCCACAACTCTATATGTGTAACACCTTGAAATTCGCCTTACAAGTTTCGACTAAAATTATTTAGGTCTTAAATAGATTTATTTTCAAAAACTGAGAACTCAATTGAAATAAAATCAGAGTTGGAAGGATATAATATAATGATAATATAGTAATGATGAAAGCTACGTGCTGCCCAGACTGCATCTAGCGTTGATATCACGCAAAGTTCACAACTGGATCATCATTTAGCTTCAAGTTTCCAACCAAACCACGTCTTTTGAAGTAACAGTTATCATCGAGGACAAATCCAACACATCCCATCCCAGAAAACCATGGATATGGAGACAGATCACAAACATTCCCGTTAGTCAACTCCACCAAACACATTTTCATCCTCTCACGCCAAAGCAACATGGCAGGCCGAGGCGGCGTCTCCAAGCACCACCACCACCACCAGAGCCATTGGGACGACGTCATCCCGCCGGAATGCCAACTGCACCGTTCCTATTTGAATTTTGAATCGAGGTACTAAAATTTCAATCTTTTTTTTTATTTTAGTACCTCAATTACTATTTAAATTTAATATTAAATTTTGAATTGAAATACTAAAATAAAATAAAATAAAAAATTAAATTTTAAGTATGATTTTAAAAAAACTCAAAATTTAAATATTAAAATAGATCAAAATTAATAATTTAATTATTAAATATGTAATTTATCCTAATAAATATTCATGATTTAATCATATCAGTAGTAACTAGTATTACTTCAACGCCAATAATTGTACCTTCTTTTCTAGTAAACATTTTTTTTGGTGCGGTTGAGACGAAAGAAATCATAGTGCCACAGAAAATTTTGGTACATTGTCAAATTAATTGGACCGTTACAAACACAACACTGTGCTACCGACACCGATGCTAACTGCTTTTAAAGACCTTTTTAATCTAATTAAGGTTAAATTATGTATTTAATACCTAAATTATTAAATTTGATTTATTTTAATACCTAAATTTTTAAATTTTCAAAAATTATACCTAACACGTAGTTTTCATATCATTTTAGTATCTTGTCACTTAACGTGTTTAATACATAAAATATCAGTTTTGATCTATTCTAGTACCTAAACTTTTAATATTTTTAAAATTTAACGTTAAATTTTGAACAAATACTAAAATGAAACAAATATTAATTTTTTTTAGGTCAAAATATTAAAATGAAACAAAAATTAAACTTCATATAAAATTAAAAAAATTAAATTTAAATACTAAATGAATTAAAGTTAATAATTTTGATACTAAACACATAATTTATCCTATAGTTAAATTGATATTCAAATATTATTATTGTATATAGGACGAAAAACCAATAACACTCATAGGACATCAACCTAAGTTTACCTCGACACTGAAGTGAAGGGATCTAAGCCACCATTCACCAGCAAAACTGGCACCCACATATTAATAATATTTACATAATAAATTCTATATTATTAATTATTACATTTAAAAAAATAGCCACAAATTTTGACTCTAAAACTGTAGTTTCCCACCATAAGCTTGCTTGCAAACTGCGTAAGATTTTTGCCTCGGGGTGCACAGCTGAGAATTCCCTGGACATCCCCGTAGACAATTATCCCCCAAGCTACCGGAAACCTCAGTATCGCCGGCGAAAAAATCCGCCGGGGGTTTGCCGATCAAGTAATTCCCGTCCAGAAACAACCTCCTCAGCGTCTTCTTCTGGCTGTAACCCAACGGGATCGAGCCACGTAAGCGGTTGTAACGCAACGACAGAGACGACAACAGC